TTCTCCCTCCGGGGCTGTGGCTGCGGCTGACGTTCTAGAGACGGACGCCCGCCGAGGCGTGCCTCGACCCGCCTGCCGATGCTCGTGAAGAGGCCATCAGGCGTGGACTTGTGCACATCGACGGATGGTCGCGGACGATGAGCGGTCTTGGGCGGCGCCGGCGCTCGGCGCGGGTTTTCAAAGTCAGTCGTGGGCTTTGGAGTGGCCCCAAATGGTGAGTAGAGAGCAGCCTGAGAGTATGAACCTGTTGTGGCGGTGGTCGATGCAGAAGGACGAGAGGAAGTAGGGTTGGACGCTTGTGCTCGCGCCGCGGAGCGTGGCTGCTCCGTGACCGCTGCCGCTGCGGCGGCGGTCCTGCGGACAATGTCGGGGTACTTGTCCTTGTCTATTTCCCGCCGCAACCACAACCTTTCTGGCTGTTTATCATGCCGCGAGCGAGATGTCTTGACTTGGGCGAGTGATGTGTCGCTCATGGACCGGTGCAGAGAAACGCGGTTGCCAGACCGGCTGGTTGATGGATGATCGTCCGAAGAATGTCGCTCCAGGTTGCGGTAATCCATGCGCGTCGAAGAGACGGGTGTCAGCGGTAGCGGCTTCTCACCCGCTCGCGGGCGGTGTGTGTCCTGATCGTCTCGCGTCTTATTAATCAAGAATCTGTCAATGTCCTCCTTCATAAGCCTGCTGATGGGTTCTGGGACCCTGTCGTTGTCGCGTTGATACCATATAGCCGGTTTGAAACCGGGGCGAGGCTCGACAGGTGGAAGGTCGTCCCGGTGAGGATAACGGATGTCGGCCTTGTCAACGGACTGGCCATTCCTGTAGCTGGGCCGCCGCCGGTGGGACGTGCTGTGCTCTTGCTGCCGGGAAGTGGACCGGGTGAGGGTGGAGACGGTATTCTCTACCCCATCGACGATGGGACTGTGTAGCCAGGTGAGATGGTAGAGCGGTGAGGTGAGATGAATAAACATACCGGACGACATTATTTGACAGAGAAGCTGATAGCTTCCGTATGCGTCTCATACTGGTGTATGGCAAGTCTAATGGGAAAGTATCTAAGTAGGGCCAGGGTCAGGCAGATAGAAATGTATGGGTGAAGCAATGTATGTGGAGTGTGTGAGCGTAGTGGAAGAGGAGTTGTACGGTAGGGAAGGAACGGATTAAAAGGCAAAAGAGATGAGTGGCGGAGGGACGCTTTGGCGCGCTTTTGAAGCGTTGAATGGGAAAATGTGGCTAGAGCAAACGAGCCACAACAGAGAGGATGGCCGTGGCAGGACACGTGTAGGGGTTCGTAAGAAAGTGAAAGGCAAACTAGGCTTGTGGGCAGCGTGACCTGTGAGGATGTTGGGATATGGGGCTGAAACATGAACCTTAGATAGGACTTGTGGGACGTTACTGAAGACTGGAGAACATGGTATACTATTGTTTTCTAACCAGAAGACCAAAACGGGGCGTAGCTTTTATTGATATAGACGAATGTTTGTCACGCATGTAGATGGAAAGAGTACAAGGACAAGGGGTATGATAACTGTGCTGATGCTCTGTGAGACTAGCTACGGTGTGCAGGAAGAGAAAATGGGGCACTGGGACTTACGAGGGGTGTATAAATCTGCCGAGGTGCTCTGCCTCTGTGGCCGTGCCACGATCATCTCTGGGTGGACGGCGTTGTGGCGACGGGTGATGCCAGATCGAGCAAACTCTAGAGTTGCTTAATCCGGCGAATTTAGCGCGGAGGAGCGTCTGCCAGCAGTCTGACGCAGGTGGCGACTAGACTCGTGAGTCTAAGCGAGCCACATGGCGGGCGACTCCACCCACGAGGTGCACCCAAGATTGCTAGGTGGGAATGGAATTATGGCCAACCAGACCGCCAGACATGCGCAAGGCGGTGCTGGATGCATGTTCTGCGCGCTACCGCTGAATGCGTCGAGTCTGCGGACGCATGCGGACTGCGCGAGCACTGCCCACGGGGAGGCGGCGGACGGACTGCGCGTGGCTGTGGGCAGGCAAAGGCGGAGGAGGAGCAGGCGAGGCGCGCGCGGGGCTGTTCCTGGGGGTGGGCCGTGACGTAATCATTGCTGCCGTATATGGCAAGGCACGAATGTCGTCAGAGCCCCGGTGCTGCTCCCATTTAATGCGCCCAGCCGCTGCTTCCGACTCACGACTCCCCTCACGCCCTCCCTCAACGACAATAATGGCTGCCGACGCTGCTCTCCCAGGTCTCTTCTTCACCTTCTCCGCAATGGTCCTCCTCATCTTCGTATGTATCCAACGCGTTCTAGCATCCTCTCTCGTCTTTTAACAACCCGCCTACAGGCGTCCGTGTCGGCACCAACATGGAACTCCATCTCCTTCCTCGACACCACCGTCGGCGGCGTCTCCACTCACTTTGGCGTGTTTGGCTACACGGGCTCCAAGGCTCATGTCGGATGGTACTTTCCCACAGGCGTAGCGTATGTCCTCTCCATTCGCGTTCATCCCGAGTCTATCTAACCCGTCCGCAGCGATAGCGAATTGAACGACACTCTCTTCCACAACCTCACCGCCGCCCTCATCCTCGTCCCCATTGGTATGTGTGTTGTCTCCACATCTCCCGCATGAGCTCACACTCCGCCCAGCCGCTGGCCTCGCGGGCATTGCTGTCCTCTTCGGCCTTTGTGGTGCCGCCTACCACCGTGTCGGCACCATCTTCATGACCCTCGTCACCGGCCTCACCTTCTTTGTCACCCTCGTCGTCTGGATCATCGCCATGGCCCTCTTTGGCATTGCCCGCGACCACGTCCGCGACCGCGCAGGTGCCGCACAGTACGGCAACGCCAACTGGCTCGTCCTCGCCGCCCTTGTCGCCCTCTTCATTGGTTTCTTCGTCAGCTGTTGCGGCGTCTTTGGCCGCTACCGTTCCCGCCGCGCCGCCTACTAGACATGTGTTGTGAACGTGCTGTGTCGTCCTTCGTGTTATGGACTCTTCCCTTATGACCTCCTCCCCAATCATTGACTGCATGACCCTTTTGCACACGACGTGAATGCACTAGCCGCGTGGCGTGTACCGTTCGTCATAGCTATTTTTCTTCACGACAAGGGCCCTTGGCAGGCCATTTTTTCGTATACCTTTGTATACCACCTCACGACCCCGCTGCAAGAAGTGCAGCTTCGTTTTACCGCATCGTATATACCTTACGTACAGATGTGTTGCTGTATCGTGTACTTTGGCTTGGACCTCCATGTGCTCTGTATCATATTCGTACTTATATCCGTCTTGTAATCTACCGTTGACCTTGACCCTCCCGTGATCGATACGGACCCCACGTTCGCCGAGCCGATCGCCACTGTCGGGCGAGGACGCGACAAGATCATCGGGATCAGCGCGCGGAAATCTCCCGCACAGCGGGCCAGAGCGGGCCGCTGAGGGCAAAGTCACGACTTGCGGCTGTCGCATCCTACACATGCGACTGTCTATGCTCACACTTCGCAACCGAGCCGTGCCAGACGATAAACTCGCTAGCCAAAACATAAAACACACTGCTAGTGTAGTGTCCAGTCCATGTCCTCCCGAGCCCCTCTACACACACGCACGTCCGCGACACTAGCTCGCACCGTCCCCAACGGGCTTCCGGTCGTGCAAGATGCTCAGATCCCCCTTCAGGCCCGTGTGGAACCGCCGCCGGACATCTACGCTGAGCAGCAGCACCACCGCGATCCACGCCGGCGCCTCGTGCAGCGCGTAGAACCCTGCTTTCTCCAGCGGCATGTTGAGCGACGACGGCCCCGTCGAGAGCAGCCCGCTCGAGTGGTACTGCATCACCACGAGCCGGTACGTCGCGGGGATGCACTGCGGGCGCACGGGTCAGCAGGGCCGCACAGAACACGGAGGGGGGGGGGCACGCACGAGCAGGCAGGTGATGAACGACACGAACAGCACGCGCCCCGCGCCGACGCGCGCCGGGCGCGTGCGCCACGCCCAGATCGCGACCGCGTTCGTGCCCTGCAGCAGCACCACCGTCAGCGCCGCGCCGATGTACCTGCACCGCGCGGCCGTCAGCATCCAGCATCTCCGCGGTGGCAGCCCGAAGCGGGGCGGCGCGCACGCACCGGGTGTACTGCACGAGCGCGCCCGCGCCCGCGCTGCGCGTGCCGTTCCAGTAGTCCCCGCCCGAGATCGTGACGAGGACCATCGCGAGGATGTAGAGGAGCATCGCGCCGCCGAAGAGCGCGCGCAGGGCGACGCGCCGGCGCGGCTCGTCGGGCGCGTCCGCGGCGTCGGACACCGACAGCTCTTGGACGTGCGTCCCCGCGCCGGCGGCGACCGCGTCCGCGTCGCCTGCGTCCGCCTTGGCGAGCGGCTTCTGCGCCTGCTCGGTGTCGGTGCGACACGGCGGCGCCGGGCGCATGCTGCGCGGGCGCGTAGTCCCTACGAGGTACGCGCGGAGGACGTTCATGACGTCCTGCCCGAGCCCGAGGTAGCCCGTCCCGTACGAGCTCTGGAAGTAGTCCATGTTGTTCTTTGTATCGAATCCCGCCGGGTTGCGCGAGGCGGCGGCGCGCAGCGCAAAGTTGACGACCCTGGCGGCGGTCAGCAAGGCGGCGGCGCCGGAGGGGCTGGGGACTGTACCGTTCGAGCGAGAGGACTGTCGTGCCGACGAGGATGAACGTGCGCGTACGCTTGTTTGCGATGCGCGAGATGGCGAGGGGGAGACAGGCAATGTAGAGACAGACGAATACGATGGAGGGTGCAAAGTCGATGGCGATGGGGGCACCGCCAACGGGGGCGGGGAAGCTGCTCGAGGCAGAGGACGACATCGCAGAGGGAGGGGGGAAAAGAATGATTGGGAGACGAAACTTATCTCCCTGTGTGTGTGGTGTCGTTCATGATATACACACGCTGTTTGGAAGCCATGGCAGTGCTTCTCGGGTCGTGGGAGCGAGATGAGTCTGCGCCTCGCGGGGATAAGGTGCTCTTCGAGTCTTCCTATCGGTTATCCGTGCGCTGCGCTGCATCAGGTTGTCGAAAAGGCTCTGGCTTGGACGCAGGGCCCGACGGAGCACGCGCTAAGAATAAGGCCTCTAGGCTGCGCCGGCAAATAGAGTATGAACTCGTGTTGATCTACAGAGGGAAAAGGGAAAAGCTTAGCTTGGGATTCCCAGGGATGGACGAAGGACCCAATTGACGGGAGTGAATATTCGGAAATGAGACCGGGCGAGTATGTCGGACACGATGCATGAGCTCTCCAGTTGACTCTGCGCCCGTTCCCACAGGCAGACCGAAGGACCCCGGCATATCCCCCTAGATCCAAAATCACTATGTACTTCTTGGCCTCTAAACCTGCGCGATTTTGATACCCCAAGTGTCCGCATCCGGATCTGGACGGTTTCGGATGACCCAGGTTTCGTCCGCATGAGCGATCTGTGCTCTCAAAAATAGTGCCAAGCCCCTACGCTCGACTACGGCACACTATATTGTATCTAGAACCTTTCACACAGCTCACTCTCGTCTGTCCACAGAAATGCTGCAACCAAGCCAGAAGAGTAGTATGCACACATACCTATGCATCAGCTGGTGCAGCGGCGATAATCATTCGGAAGATCCACGAGTCCTCAAATTACACACCCATGAAATCCAGAAGGATTAATGGGAAATCATGGGGGGATAAAAATCACACCTACTGGCCAGCTTGAACGTGGGGGTTCTCTGCAAGAAAACGCATCAAGTCTCAAGGAAACCTGCCATCTGGAACGTTTTGCTCGGCGGGTCCAGGCTACAGCTCCTGATTATTTGCTCGGATGCCAGTTATGTGAGCATCGTATAGGCAGTCATGGGGGGCTCTACACCATAAAGACTCATCGGTTGCAACCTTGAGGATGCGGCGTTGGTATATTTCGCTCCCCACTCGGGATGTGTCGCACAGCGTTGACGTCTAAAGGGAGAACCATTATACTTAATGGTAATTGACAGAGGCGAATTGCTATGACGCGATGGGTCCAAGCGACTGGGAGCAGCTCTGTCCGCACTGGATTGATGTTCTGGTTGAAAAGTCCACTTGTATCCGCAAGCGGCATCCGGCGTTCGTCAAAATTTGGGAGAGTCTGTCCACCGTGATATTCAATACGGACGACGTTTGGCCCTCGATTGTGTCCGCATTAGAATCTGAGCGCCAGGCGGATATGCCGGGGTCCTGGGGCGACCGCCGGGAAATTGACGTTGGCTCTGTGATTATGGAGACACAGACCACACGCAGCACGGTCAAGCTGCGGTCGGAGGCAATAAGTGCAAGAGACGCACTTTCTGCGCTGCGCAGCATCAAAGAAGAATGGGGTACCTTGTACTAGCAATTGTGGGCAAACATGCCCGTGGTGGTCTACTGATCGATCATTCGTACGATCCACGAGCTTGGGCGTGTAGGATGAGGCAAGTGTCATTACGAGAGAAAGTGGAACGCATAGGCAACATTGCGGGGTTTTCGCTGGAGAGGACGGCGTTTTGCTGGCTGTAATGGGAACCTGGCTAGGGCTTCACTAGAGCCGCGCCGAGTTTGCGGGCGGCGGGGTGCGCCGCACGGGCCGAGTGCGCAATCCAGTTTGCTCATCAGACCGAGGAGCGGCGGACGGCAGAGTCTTATCTGAATTCATCTGCAAGGACCGAGGTACAGTCGCCTAGGGGATATGGCTTTGATTAGAGTCGTCTCGAGCTGTTCAGATTTTTGCATTAGAATGAGATTGTTTACGCTAGCACGGCGAGGGTTCACCGAGCTTCTCTTTGTGGGAATAGGAGGGACCAAGTGAGAACCAGTGATTTCCATGTGAACACAAATGTATATTGATGAAGATGCGCGAGGGAGTCGCAGTAAATACCCGGCGGACGCTAGAAAGCCACATTCACGGAGGAGGAGGATACTAGGATAGATTGGCAAAGGCAGTACAGATACGTCACATGATACTAAGCCTGGTAATCCAGCCATATTCAGTGAGACTCGGCCTGATTCGGCCTGTCGTTTTCCGTTTCTTCAAGTCGGCGGCATGGGCAGATGGATTGAGATCGAAACGTAGGTGCACCAACAATTAAGCAGGACGCGGTTTCAGATAATTACATCTCATCACAGATTAGACGATGGGTTCAGACGATGAGCTATGTATATCCTGAACACGGTTCAGTGTCAGAAGCGAATACAAAGACGAGTACGAAGAATGCGATATACGAGAAAGTAAGAAATACAAATGCAACGTGCACTCTACACAATGAAAATGATGATCACTGTGACGGCCTGACACGACTTGTAGGAAGTGTGTCCCACGGTCCCCATCGAGATCCGAATTCATGCAAGTAAATCCACTGCACGCTTCGAGGAGACTGTCCTCGCTGTCCTCCATTACTTCTATGGCATTATACTGTGCAGCTGAATGCGACACACAGCAACGCTCCCTCGAATCGCAAACGCCTCCTGCCGAATCGTCTGCAATTGCACTTGTTTCCTTTAGAGGCATTCTTGTGCTTGTTTAATATGTGTACGGAGTTAGACCTGCTTGCCTGCCATCTCAGCACGTTATTTTCGAGCTGACTTGAGCCTCGCCACGAGCTTTTGAGGATCAGGAGTGTGAGCCTATGACATGAGTTAGCTAGTCGATGCACATACCTGCGAGGTGGCTATCGAGTCAAACTGAACATCCTCAGAATTGTCCGCGATGCGGAGTTTCCGTAGTGGTGGATAGGCGCGATTAGGAGCCGGTAGTGAAACAGTGCAGTTTAGTCGGTTAGTGAGGGATGATTCGGACGATGGAGAAGCAAATTGAGAACTGGGGCATTCTATTGTGATACCGAGGGACTTGTCTGCTAGTGAAAGATTTGGGGAAAGGTCAGTGACATGCAGACCACGAAACCACACGCTCGGATCGGCTCATGGCATACATCCAACTCTCGTGCGTGTCACTCCGAGTCGTGAACCTGCGTCTCAATAAAGAGTAGCTAGACTTACTTCCCCATTGTCAATGTCTGCTAAATCATTCTTTTCGTGCTCTCACGCAGGCTTTGAACGTTCATTCAGCGATCCTCACCAGTTGAACAAACACACTGCTCAGCATTCCAAAGTTCCAGAGCCTATTCCATGGAAATCACCCTCTGCCGGCCACTGCCATCCTAAGGTGAATTTCTTTGAATTTCAATGTCTAAATCCTCGCTGCACACGCAGTAACATTTAGTTCTCACCGTACTGTCGTTACTCACCTCTCCGATTCCGGGGTGCACTGCGGCCGTATAATGCAACATGCGGAGCTTGTGCCAAATAAACCAGAGATAGAGAAGGATGACGGCCCAGATGATTATAGTAAGTCCCGAAATCATGAGGATCCATATTGCTGCTTACATAGCCATCAAATGCTGTTGATTTGAAGCCCAATCGACGGGCTCAGTGGGTGGACATTAAGCTCTCTATTAGTTGTCTATGATGATCCCTTAACATATCAAATAACACTTTAGTATGTGATTCGGACTTGGGCGCCACTTACAGCACTAGCGCAAGTTGGGATAAGTGAACTCACATACCGTGAACCATCAAAGTCAATCAGACAAAGTCAAGTAAACTCAAGTGAGGACTCCCATGCGCCCGCTTGAGCGCACGCAAACCACAAGTAGCTGTATGCTAGGCAGCTGTACCCTGACTTTCCAACCAGGGCAGTCATTCAGGGAGCATCGAGAACTCGGCCCAGTTTGGGGTGTAGGTAAACGAGTGAGAGACAAACGAACGCAGCTGAGCAGCCTGATCTTGTAGAGAACTCCTGATTGATCACGATCCTTCACGGTGAGTCCAATTCAGTGCACTGTGAAAGCCTAATGACACAACCACAGGGTGTCCATGAGCTGCATAGACAATATGCACGGAAGCGACAGTCACAGGGGTCTCTATGTGTACATTGGCACGCGGGTGCGAACTACAGGAGCGATACATACAGAAAGAGCATCACGGTTGAGACCAGGAAAGACGTAAAGTGGCTAGCATGCTCAGCATGTGCTGTAGTAGACCGAGCGATGTCGAGGGGATCAGTGAGCGTAACGGCGGAGTATACGAGAGCCGCTTGGTCTGGAGACGCAGGTAACAGAGATCAAGTGGGAAGGAATATGCGAGAGAAAGCCCGGCGGAGAAGGATTGCAAAAGTGAGAAAAGCAAGACGAAAAAGTGTCCTTGGATCAGAGTATGTAATAGACGCCCGGAGCCTCTCTCTCTCGCCATCTCCGAGATTCTAACTAAATCCCCGCGCTGAGATTGTTGCCGCACACTCTGAAGCATGACCTCGTCCAAGCGAGCCATAGACTACTCCTTGTATCTCGTCACTGGACGCGATCTCCTCCCACCCGGCAAGGTCTGTCCACCTCCTACGTTCAGTATCATCTCAGTCCATATCAACGCATATATCTCTTCGGTGTAGGACTATCTGGAATCACTCGAAGAAGTAGCTATGCTCCCTCTCACACCATCGTACGCGCTCCCAACTTCCGCATAGTCCCTCCAGGGCGGCGTCACTCTCGTCCAGATCCGCGAAAAGACCGCGGACACCGGTGAGGTCAGTCTTCCTGATCTCCATCCATCCCGGCTGCCTCTATACCCGACCCAAACGCACACAGTTTTTGGAAATAGCCCGCCAGTCCCTGGCCGTGTGCCGCAAGTACAATGTGCCCCTCTTCATCAATGATCGCATCGACATTGCCCTCGCCGTTGGTGCCGACGGCGTGCATATCGGCCAAACCGACATGCCTATCGCGGTCGCCCGCTCCCTCCTACCGCCCCACACCCTCATCGGCATGACATGCAACACCCGAGAACACGTTGTTCAGGCCGTCAAAGACGGTGCAGACTATGTCGGTATTGGGCCCGTCTGGGCGACACAGACGAAGAAAGTCCTCAATCCCGTGGTAGGTGTGAGGGGCCTTGGCGAGCTGCTCGAGCCCCTTGACGGGACGGACGTCAAAGCCGTCGCTATCGGTGCGGATATTGACTTCAATACCCTCTCGTCTGGTGCTCATTCCTGCGATTGAAAAAATCTCAGCCGGCATTAAATCTACCAATGCCCTCCAGTGCTTACATGGGGCTATATCTACTACTGGCCACCGGCTGGACGGCCTCGCCGTTGTCAGCGACATTGTCGCGTCGACGGAGCCCTACGCCGCGGCGAAACGGCTGTCTACCATTATACATGCCTTCAAGTCTAATAAAATACACACTTTCTCTGGCGCAGCCGGTCCATACAACCAAGAGTACATCAAAGACCGCGTCGGCCGCCTCTTGTCGACCATTCGAAAACATGGACCTCTAGTGCAGCAGGTCTTCCCCAGATGCCATTAAGTAGTGCCATTCGGCGAACTAACATGCCCGCAGATCACAAACAACGTCGTCACCACACAATCTGCCAACGCCACGCTCGCCCTGGGGGCGTCTCCCATCATGGCCAACGCGCCGGAGGAGATGGCGGACCTCGGCAAGGCCATTGGAGGCCTCCTCATCAACTTTGGGACCATCCAGAGTTTAGATGGGATGCTGATCGCCGGTACGTATGATAAAAATCGGTACACAGTCCCTCCTCGATGTCACATCGTCAACTGTAGGCCATAATGCGAATATCAATCGCAAGCCCGTAGTGTTCGACCCCGTCGGCGTCGGCGCCTCAACATTTCGACGGACGTCCGCGAACAGTGAGTAGCGTGAGGGTCTGGACGGGGGACTGGACTGACAACAGCAAAAATGAAACCCAGCGTTACTCAATACGTGGCAGGCGACTGTGATTAAGGGGAATGCAGGAGAACTAGCCGCCCTGGCCAATTCCGCTGAGGTACGGAATTCAGAGCCCAGACTGGGCAATGGCAGCGGAGGCGCGCGAATATTCTGACGCCCCCATCAGGTCCAAGCAAGAGGCGTAGACAGCGTTGGAAAGGGATTCTCCGACCCAGCTGCCTTTGTGCGAAACCTCGCTCGCAAAGAGAGTGCGTAGCGTGTGGTCGCGCTCCGTCGTTGTTGAACAAACCTCTGTCTCGCAGGATGCATTGTGGTCCTTACCGGTGTCGTCGACTGGGTGTCCGACGGCACCACGGTTGTTCGTCTGGCGAATGGGCACCCCATGCTTGGCGACATCACGGGCTCGGGCTGTATGGCGGGAAGCTCCATAGCGATCTTCTGTGCTGCGGAGAGCACGGACACGGCGAATAGGAGGGCGCCCGACGCTGCCGAAGACGGCATGCTAGTCCGGGGCGACATGCTCATCGCCACAGTAGGAGGGTAAGCTGGTTCGCGTTGTATGCTGTGCCGAAATTAATACTCGACCGCAGCATACTCGCCGTGACCCTTGCCTCGGAGTATGCGGCTGGCAGAGCGGACGTCAAAGGGCCTGGGACTTTCCTCCCCGCATTGATTGATGAGTTGGGTAGGCTAACGGCAGAGAAGATAATGCAGGCAAAAGTGGAGGTCCTGTGAGCAATATAATCGCAGTTCCGATATACATACGCCGTCCGGCCAACACGTGGAACGGATAGTACATGAAAATTGTATCCATACAACAATACACAGCGCAGCATTTGTCAAGCAGTAACCGATACGGTGGTTGGGTTGGGTGCGTCCAGGATGCGCGAGAACGGCATCTGGGGGGTAGGCTGCAGCCAGTTCTTCTCGTCGTAAACTGCATGTGGCGGAGACTCGATCATGTGGAACGTGTACGCAAACCGGGTATTTGGGCTAAGGTTCTTCTCTGACTTGTGCAGGACACTGCCGTGGATGAGCACCATGTCGCCTGCGTACGGCGGTCAAGATGCGTCCAGGGCACGAGAATACGAACGCACCGGGCATACACGCCTCTAGGACGTACTTTCCCCCAGGGTTCTTTGGCACGTTCTCGGGAGGGATCAGGGTTTCGAAGCCGGTTCCACCTTGCGGGAGACGAACGAACCGCTTCGTGATAGGCGTGGTGAGGTGAGAGCCGGGCAGAAAAGACAGTGCGCCGTTCTCGGGGGTGCACTTTTCGAGCGCTATCCAAAACCCGAGCGCAGATGGGGGATTCGTGTACTGGCAGAAGACATAATGAGCGGCGTTCGAGCCAGCGATCCTGATGTGGTACGCTTACAAGGAACGTCCTGCAGCCGCAGGGACAGATGTCGAGCAATCATTCACGGGGTGTAGAATGAAAACGTACGAGTCATTGTGCTCGGGTACTGGGCGGACTGCGATGTGAGCCAACGTGTATGCCAGAGATAAACTCGAACCGCACCTTCACCACCAATCTGCGGCTGCTTGCAAATCACCATGGACTGCAGAGCTGGGGAGCGTGAGGCGGTGTGGTGCTGAATTCGAAACGGGCATGAGACACACCTACGGGATCGTGATGGAATTGAAGGTCACGAGCGACAGCCTGCATGGACGCGTTCTCCAGGGTGACCCTGCGGAACACAGGGTCGAGTTCGTGGAGAGCTGGTGTTGGCAGACGGGATCAAACTCGTGCAGGTAGAGAGAGAGAGCTTTCACTTGCCGTGCCCAATCTTGTTAACGGCCCTCTCCTTCGGCCTGTTCAGCTGGCCATCCCTGTCGATAGCATCTTCTTCCAAGAAATATCGGATCTTGTCCCCCGATGTCAGGAAGTAGTCGTCTCCGACGTGGTTATCGTCCCCCGTTGTGAACTTGGTCTGAAGAAGCCACAGGAGATCGCATCTTTAGCTGTCGACCTTTCAATACGTACACATGCGATGCGTACGAGAGGGTGCTCTGCGAGATTGAGGTTGTCCAGCAGCTGCTTCGAGCGGGCGAGCAGCGCCTCTGTCTCTTCTTTGCTCAAAAAATTGGGGAGGCGCAAGTATCTAGTGCACCTATCAACCCGAATGGCAGAGCAACGAGAGGTGGCGAAGCTTACCCGTCTCTGCGGAACTGCCGGGCACGATCGCGAAATAGTATCACTAGCGGAGATGCGCCCTAATGGAACGGAGGACTCACCTGCTTGACTTGGTCCTCAGAAAGGTACTGAAATGTACCAGTGGTATCTGACATCACAGCGGCGATGCTTGTGGTACGAAAACAAGGTCCGCGGTACAGATGACTCGGAAGCAGCGGCGAGATGCCCGACCGAGGCTACAGTACTCCGATCTCTGAGTCTCTCATGCATATCACGTTCGCGTACCAATATGGACCAACTGTCAGAAAAACGAGAAGCCCTAAGCCATAATTTCCCGCGGCGTGGCAATTCTTCATACCACTGTCACTACTACCAGCCATGAGATAAAATCCTTCTGATTGATGTGGTATATGGGCAGTTCGTAACTAAGCAGTCAACATAAGATCTTTCATTCACGACTATCGTTCAAGAACAGTAGAACAGAATGTATCTTGATTTTAGACTTGATTGTGTCCCAACCTAGATTCTTGAATGATCATCCAGTCATTCCAATCCATATTCCATTCTGCGGAATCAAATAACCCGCTAGATGCAAAGTGTCTGCTGCCCATGACATTGACAATGCCACCAAAGATTGATGTGGCAGAAGGCGGAAGTACAGGTTCCACCAGAAAACTGAGGCGATCAGCTAAAACAACACGCAATAAGAATCCTACAAATGTACCAGCACTCAATCCCTGGCTAACCATGAGGTAGTTATCGGTTACAGGCCACCAAACGAAATAAGTGCTAAACCTAAGCCTATATATCTGGGTATGCAGGTGTCCCAGTCATTCCTCAGACCCTTCGTCAATGTTCTCGCCGTTCGCAAGACGCTGAATAAGATGATCAATCTTGGATTTGTGAATGCGATGGTGCTCCTGCCACCCTTTCCAGGGATGATGTGGATGCTGGTGCACAAACAAATCTAAGCATATCAGAGCCTTATGACAATCAAAACCTCCTACTAATCGACCAAATTGTTGGAACACCTTATCCGAAGTGCCTTCAGGTTTGTGGAGGAAGAATTTGGCCAGCAAAACGTCGTCCATTCGGCTATAGCGCATTTTCTTCTCTGGAGGAGCGGGTAGAGGAGCATCGCCCTCGTTGTGATTTAGTTCGTGCTTGTGCCTACGATAGAACTTCATCCATGATGCACGAGAATGATGCGGAGCCTGAGGATAAGATCAGTATCGCAGGCTGATGACAAAGAGATGTCTGACCTTGGCCGCAACATCTTTCCAAAATATCACCATATCCATCTTAACGCCCTGCGTTCTATTCCGGTATTCTAAGAATCGGACGAGGAATGTGATATCCTCTTCCGTGAAAGCAACACCTTTTCCTGTAGTGCTCCTAAAAAGTGCTCTTGGCGGGGTGGGGGATCGCGTGCGATTGATATCTGCTGCTGCTGCGCGACGTGCGGCTTCCATTGCACCTGGGCCAGCCGTGGTAACGACCTGGGGTTCAGGCTCTGCCTGTCCTGGTGGTTGCTGACCGGACTGCGACTCAGAACTACCAAGATCCTCATCGGCATCGTGCGCATCCATAGCATAACCTCCCAGCCTAATCTGATGCTTGTTGCAGTATCGACGCCATGAATAAAACCTAATGTTACCATAAGACGATGTCGCGATATGGTAACAATAGATATACTAACGTGTGATGGGGAGCCTAAAAGGTAGGGGTACGACGTCAATCAAGATGGGTAATTACCAGCAACCCCGCTTACTTTGACGGCAACACGTTCGCAAATTTCTCGGAGACTATGCATCAATCTATCAGCTAATTAAGATGTCAAAACAGTTGAAATAACCTTCACCTAAGCACGAGACCTTGTTCCTGACAATATTCGATGTATTTTCGTAAGTATTCAACATCGTCAGCGGTGAACAGGTTGCCGCCATATGTGCTCTTAATGACACGAGTGGGCGGAGTTGGAGAACGTGCGGGAGGGTTCCGCCGATTAGCAACCAAAGAAGATGCAGGAGGTGCTGGTTGAGGCTAGATCGAGTCAAAACACGATACGGCAATGTAGCAGTAACGACAATACCTGCGCCCGCACCCGTTTCCGACCTCTTTTATCAGAAGGATCGGCTTGAGTAGAAGATTCTGCGTTCGAGGGACCCGCTTCTTCCATATATGTCCCCTCTGGCTCGGCATACGACTGATCGTACTATGACAGAAGTTTAAGATTGAGCAGCTAATGCACGAGACAATTCCTACATGCTGAGGATAATAATCGGGAGCAGGAAAGTAGGCGCGCTGATCTTCTCTGAACCTATAATCATACGGCGGGGGCGGAGCTCCCACCATCGCACCCGGATGAGGGGGAGGTTGATGGTAGGCACCAGACCACGCTTGTTCATCTCTGTATGCTTCGTGAGGCATCATGTGAGGCGGTGCCGGTGGGGGTGGCGGCATATGTGTTGCCTGAGGGGGAATCCCACTAGAGCCTTGCCAAGACTGGGGAGGTGCAGCAGTTGAAGGGTGTATCGCACCAGTAGTGACCTCTGCCATTGGAGGCGCATATACCGCGTACGGGTAAGGATGTTGCGCATGGTGATGGAGAATAGGGTCAGTGGTAGCTGCAGTTATAGGAGGAGGCACTGTGTGAGCCTGCTGCTGTAAGACTTGAGGCGGATTTGGTGGAGGCGGGTGCATTTGGGCCGACATTCCTTCAGTCATCAATGGCGGTTGTGCATCGCTAGAAGACGGTCCGGCTTGAGATTGACTTGTCACAGCACGAGCAATAGGAATGACTCTGGAGAGAAATCAGGTACAGGTGAGAACCGTTGCTTTGAACATACTGTTCTTTCCCCGTGACTTTGAACCCAGCCCAATTATTGTGGTACGTCTGCAACACGCCGGCCTTGACGCATTCAAGAACCCACGCAGCGTCTAGTACCATTTTACCTTTCTTGCCAGCATATTGACGGTATAGACTTTGGCCCGATTCCTTATGTGGATCCACTAAGTAACATATATGAGAGTGGGGAAAAGAAGCAGCAAGATAGGGAGATAGCGACAAAGACACAGGACACTCGCGAAGTCCGAGAATACTTACCACAGATATATGGAACGCCGCTATATCCGGGAGACACTAACCCTCCGTGGCTCTAAGAAGTCGTGACCAGTGAGTGAACTCGATCGCCAGAGTTATAGGTAATGCGGCAAACGTGAGGCCATCACAACGAATGACGTCGAAACCTCATCGAATAGTATGAGCGGAACCAGGTCGTGACATACCGTAATGAGGTCAACAATGGTGTCCCTGTTTTCTACATCCTTCTCAACATATATCTGGAGAGGGGTCCCCATCATGGGATCCATAAAAAGCTCCTTAGAGAGGTCGGACGGGGGAGTAGACTGGTCATTAGGACTGGATACATTCTGGTCGCGTTGGCCGCGACGGTTAGCAGTACGTGCTGGTGCCATGGGTCTTGCCCGCTGGTAGTAGATGTGATGGGCGTCCTCAGGGGGCCACCCCCACGCCTTGTTGTCCGCTTTCACGCGGAGTTTGAATCTCCCGCCCGTCCTCCTTCACCAGCTGCGAGACGACTTACTTTCGACTCGTCCGCGACTTCCTAGCTGCTTTTACATATAGCCTGCATCTAGAATTCTGGATATGCTCGATGAGATCTTTAGCAAAACCCAGCTGACTTTTGAAAGACTGGCATGTCATCTGTCTAGCTACTGTAGGCTTGTGCTGGATTCAGCCATTATTGCTTTGCGCGGTTGGCGGTATATCATTTCTCCACATACACAGCTGGTGCGTTCTATGATGATGTGGTACTGAATACTCGACCCACTTTGAGCGGATACAGTCGTTGCGAGGTCCAATGAGATTTAACCTCTTGACCTGTTTTCACTGGTTGCGATTTTCTGAGGGATGTTCATGTGCTCCCCGTTTTTGACTTCGCAAGTCACCCAAGTGGTTTTGTTTCTGTTAATAGTTTTTGACTACAAATTTTGCTAACTTCTCTCGATGTTACTGTCATCACGACTGCACGGCTTGCAATTCGGGACACATTTCCTTGGCGAACTCAATCTTGAGCATCATTTGGCCTCGCGTTGGGCAATTGATTTTAAGAAAACGTGCAAGCACAATGTGGCTCCTTATACAGAATGGGACACTAATCTGACGCTGAGTTAAACCGGGCCTTATATTTTTGACTGAGTCTCTCTCTTCCAGTGCACGAGCCTTAGTTGACTCTCAAGCAGATGGACGAGCAAAGACGCTATGTGGGAAGCAGCTCAGTCAGGATGGGCGCCTCAACTTGTCTGCGCTGGTTCATCGTTTAACCGCCTTTTGATCAGAACAGGAACTGCCTTACCGCACTGTTTGCCGTAGCTAAGCACGGGAATCGAGGACCAGCTACAACGCGGAGGCATGCAAATAGGATGTTCGTATTCTACTATTGAAATGAGAAGGGAACGTTCGAGAGGACTAGGCAATTGCTACGAGTTGTGATCTCGTCCCCGGATGTGTCAAAATAGGAACGAGATCAACAAGCCCCTGCCAAGTGCAATGCCGAACGTGTCGTTATAGCTTTTCAGCATTCCTCGTTTCCTCGTTTCCCACAACACAATTGTCTGTACTTTTCTTGTAGTCTGTAGTCACTAAGCCGTAGCGAATCATGGAAGATTACGGAGACGATTTGTTTCGAAAATAAATTCGAACAAAACCATTCTGCTGCCAATGAAGAAGGCCGCATCGGATGATCAAAGTGTAGTGATATCTGATATTTAGTAGTTACACTACGCGTACGGTCATTCACATGGCACATTCTATTGATGCGCCTCCACTGGTACTCTATAAGTAATCTGGGTAACTGTAGAATCACCATCTATCAAAGCATTGATGCGGCATGGTCTGGTACTCAGACTTCGTGCGGCTGCAACGCGTAGAACATTATGAGGCTTCGGAACTGGTTCCGGTCGGACTCATGACAAGTGGCTTCGCAACACTTTCTGTCATCTGTTGTTTGCGACATCCGTGAGTGGACGAGATGGTGTCGGCGCACTTCAAGCTTCAATCTTCAAGGATATCGGCACATTAAAACGGTCATAACAAATGACATCCTTTATTTAGATTAGAATGTTATTATGGGCCGGCGAGTAGACGCAAGTACTTAAGCCGTCGCAACAGAATACTGAGCCCCAATTTGTGCCGATCTTGTGATGGAACGCTTTTATACCGACCGTTTCTGGTGATAGCCTTCTCGTGAGAGTCTGAGACCACAGGGAGAGGGCGGGTTCCACCCCGCGCATGTATCATCGAGGCATCGCCTTCGCGATGCATACTACGGTAAATAGGTCTACCTGAGGGGGCCTGCTGATATGAAAGTCAAGTGCGACAACCCTGTGATATCCTCAACAGAGAGTTATGTGCGCAGACAGATTGGAAAAATTCATGAGCATGGGGAAGACCTCTGCGGAGACCAAAAATGGTGTGGGAACAGACGCTTGACGAGAGACAAACAGATACAAATACATGGCGGAGTTGGATGTCTCGGCTGTACCAACAGCGTGAACCAAGCAGAACCGGTCTTCTATCTTCCAGGCCCGTTACTATACCACCCTCCCTGCCTCCTCCCACCTCCAGTCGTCCTGCTCGCCATCCTCAAGGTCGGTCGCCCCCGCGATGTCTACCGCTGCAGGGCGCAAAAAGTCCATGATATCCGCCACGACGCCCACTATCGAGTCACCCATCGCCAATAATACTCTTCTCAATAAGGCCGCGTCCCAATCGACTTCTCTCTATCAGCAATGCTCCGCTCTACGCACTCGTTTGATGCATGTCCAGGATTTCCCTGACTGGTTTACCCTTTCGTCTCCTCCAGACTCTTCGCGCCGCTCGACTGATCCCGTCACTCAGCTATGGGATTGCTTCGCCTTGGGTGTTCCCCTGTGCTATCTCTATAACCTCCTACCCGCTCCTTTTACACCTATCAACATAGATACGAACCCAAGGGCTTTTGACGGTTCCAACGAGAAGACCATGAAGCGGTCAATCGCGCTTTTCTCGATGCAGATCAAGCAGATTGAAGGCTGTGAACAATTCACAGTAACTGAACTGTGGGATCGTAACTCTACGGACGGCTTCGTTAAGGCACGTATTTTCCGTCGTTGATAATTTGTTGCGCACTGAACGTCCTGTATAGGTCGTCAATAACGTCATAAATTTAGTCAAGTGTCTGCCGGAAGACGTGTTTGTCGAGCCCCTACCCTCGTCGCCTGCCCTTGCCTCTGCCCAGCAGTCGACTGACTCCTTAGCTCCCGAAAGTGCTACTGCATCAGGCGAGACTGATGGAGGTGCTCGGTTCAACATCGTCAAGGAGCTTGTTGAGACTGAAAGGAAATACGTACAAGACCTCGAGGTGATGCAGGTGAGTAAGGTGCAGGCTTTTGCGCTCGAACTTGCCTAATGTTTATGGCCAGAAATACTCCAACGCCGCCGCACAGATGAATGTAATCGACCAGGACACCATTCATTTACTATTCCCAGGTCTTAACAAACTGCTCAACTTCCAGAGGAAGTTCCTCATTAGGATAGAAGGCATCGCAGAGCTGCCTTGGGACGAACAACGTTGGGGCGTGCCCTTCACAGAGAATGTGAGTTCTGAATGTCTGATTACAAAAGGCATGCTCGATATGGCATTTATCTTGTTGTCTTATTGTCTTCGCTCCTCAAGCTAATGACTTTTCGTGTAACAATAGGAGGAAGCTTTTGCCGTGTATGAACCTTATTGTGCAAATTATACCACGGCCTCGGACATTATGCTTCAAGAGATGAATAACCTTGGCGTACGTATCCGTCTCAACCCTACATCCTAGTTCTGCTTAACGAATGGAACTATAAATACATACAAATAGGCGCTTGACGGCGTGCTGCTGAAGTCGGACCTTCCAGCCTTTTTGATCAAGCCTGTGCAAAGGATATGTAAATATCCTCTATTATTGGAGGTGAGCCAAGCTATCGTTTTAGCAGGATTTGATGCGACTGCGCTTGAATAGTCACTCCTGAAAGCTGTGACGGGAACAGACTACCCGTTCTCCGATGAACTCAAATCTGGTGTCGCTGCAGCAAAACGAATCACCGACAAGATTAACGAGGCACAGCGAAGAGCTGAGAATGAAGCTACCGTAAAGAGCTTGGAAGGACGCGTCGATGACTGGAAGGGTCATCACATCTCAAGTTTTGGAACCTTGCTCCTAGACGACATCTTCACTGTCACCAAATCCGAAGTGGACCGAGAGTATCACGTCTTCTTGTTTGAGAAGATTATTTTATGTTGTAAGGAATATCTTGCGCCTCCGGTGAACGGGCGGAAGGTGGGAAAGAGCAACTCGATTCTCAAGAAGCCACCAGTTCCGCCACCGTTGGCGCTCCCGGGGGCTGGACCTTCGAAGAAAAGAAATACGCCCCTTCTGTTGAAAGGTCGCATCTTTCTGAATAACGTAACCAAAGCGGAACCGAAGATTTCTGCCGGTATGTCTTCTGCGCATCGTCAACTTGTCTTTGCTCATCATTTGGATATTCAGGGCAATATGCGCTTGCGGTATGGTGGCGAGGCGATGACGACCTCGAGTTTTTTACGCTACGTTGCCGAAATGAAGAACAACTGAAGATGTGGGAGAATCAGCTGAATCGCCTGATTCAAGAGACAGCAAACCGCCGCGCCTCCGATCGAAACCCCCAGCGACTAATGCAATACACGCAATCCTCACAGAGTGCGTCTCACCAGAGATCATATAATACAGAGAGGTCCGCGTCAGTCTTCTCGCAATCAACGGCGTACAGTTCTGTATCGCCTTATCCTTCCGCTCCTCCAAGTCGCATGGCTCGTCATCCCTATGCGGCTGCAGGAGACGATTCCCCCATGTCTGCAACTAACGGGTCCTATTCTAATGGCTACCACCATGGCCCACAAGGATACCCACCACATGATGGTTTCGATATCGATCTGGAGGATGAGTATGAGGAGTATCCGCCAACATCATATCCTTCGTCAGGACGGGGTACCCCACTCGGCTCTCGTCGATCGGATTATGGCGGATTTCCCCAGAATAATCCGCCAAGCGCTCGCACCGGTTCTCATGTCTCAACGCCTGCATCCGGCATGAGTCCTTATATCGCGCCTTATCCTGGGAGTAGACCGTTGTCTCGTCCCGCGACCGGCCATGCGCCAGAAGAAAACGGCTTATCGTCTGCTGCTCGGGGTTCCTTGCGTAGCCAGTTCAGTTCAACGAAGCTGAGGGCTACGTGTGAGCAGTCAGAACAGCGTTTGGCTGCTAATACACGCGCCAGCACGACGTCAGGCCATGGGCCGTTACGATCACGTAGTGCAAGTCAGCCATCCGCATATAATCCCTATGCTGCACCGCCCCCACCGCTCCCGACATCTGTACCCTGGACCAATCGATCTCATAGCTCAATGGGACAGAACAACAAACGGGGAAGTGGCTCCAGTCAATCTACAGGCGACAGCTCGGACTACTCGCCTCATAGTGGCAGCTCACCAATCACGCCGTTTGGATCAAGCGAGTCATCGTTAGCAGGTATGCCGAGTTCGCGGATTTCACGACCGCAAGAGAAAATGGTGACATCAGCTACAGACCGACTTTCAGGCCCAGTCAAAGTGAAAGTCCATTTCCACGAGGACATATTTGTGATTCAAGTACCTCGTTCGACAGAGTTCGACGAGTTGGTTGAGAAAGTTGGCAAGAAGATTAGGTTGTGTGGGCCGCGTCGAGACGATGGTCCCCTGCGCGTGAAGTATAAGGACGAGGACGGAGATCTAGTTTCGCTGGGATCAACCGAGGATGTTCAAATGGCATTCGAGTCCTTCCGACCCGGGAATCAAGTAACTCTTTATGTTCAATGAGTGGCTTGACTGCATCCTTCCTACTCATCTCCCTGTTCGCTATTCGCATCCATCCATCCACATCTTCATCTCGGGTCCTGCTACCCTTCTGATACTCACTCGCGCCAATCATGCATTGTTATCACCTCGCTGATAATCCTGACCGCCGACATTATCCTTATACTCGGGAACTCTACACCGTGCCTACGCTCTTTGGTTATACCTTTATCACGACCGTCATGATCCACTCCTATCTGCCCTTATTCTGGTCCTAATCTGTCCGTACTCTATCCGCATCGTTGCATATACATCATATTTCTGTCCCTATCATCTGCTCCGCGTGTCGATTGAGGCCGCTCTTAGTTCACTCCTTCGTTTTCTGTCGGTCTTCGTTCGCTTATCTCTCTCACCGTCGTCTCATTTATGAATCTCGCCCCGATCGCTGTCCCTACTATTATATGTAGATCGTGTGTAGGTTCGATGAGCTTATTCACTTTGTTGACTGTCATGTACCATTTAGGGTGGGCCGCTACTGAGGCAGGTCGCTTCGCAGAATTTTATCGTTCGCTTCATGATCTAATGTATGCGCCGCTTCAATATTTGCACCCTTCACAAATAGTTTATATTCGGGCTGTAGTCGGTGACGAATGGAATGTTGTGTCTGGATTTAACGGCGAATAAGAAGGTAGCCATTCCACCATATTCCCGCACATCACGCGGACCCTGGCACGTGCAAGCAATAACTTGAGTGTTCAGCGTTCCGTAACGTTCAGCTCCAGGCCAACGTTCAATCTGCTTCATACCTGTACTTGTTACACACATAAGTACGTCCACGCGAGTTCCGAGGACGAAGACTCACGTAAGATTCTCAACAACTTGAGCTTCTACCTCTACCGCTTACAGATTTGGACAGACATTCTTTTGTCGGACATCCTACATCGACGGACTTGGCCTTTTGCCCGTCGAAAGCACATCCGCCCCCGTAGTTTTTTGATGGTTTCGCCGACCTCGGATATACATCCTAGCTATACGTCATGACCGCCTCTCCATCACCGTCGCGATCCATGTCGGACAACAATACGCAAGTCTCCGCCGAGCTGGCTTCCGAGAAGAGGCGATTTCTCAGCCCGCAACTTACATCGTACTTCGTAGCTGGTGGCATCGCGGGCGCCGCGTCGAGGACTGTCGTGAGTCCACTAGAACGACTCAAGATTATCCAGTGTGCACTTTTCTTACTCGATCGAGCTGCGATAATAATACCTGATTGCCGTGCTACAGGCAGGTGCAGCCACTGAAATCGGAAGGGCAGTACAAGGGTGTCTGGGCTAGCTTAGTGCGAATGTGGCGGGAGGAGGGCTTCCGAGGGTTTATGCGCGGAAACGGCATCAATTGCTTGCGTATCATACCGTATAGGTCAGTGGTTCAACAACTTGTAGTACAATATGGCAGTATGTCATCTAACGTATTGGCATATAGTGCGGTCCAATTTACGACTTATGAGCAGTTAAAACAGGTAAGCCGTCGGCTGTGTGACTTCTGTTGGAAAAGATGACTGATGAATAGCTCGAGGGATAGCTGTTCACGGGTTATGGAGCGACGGAGCTAGATACACCGACTCGGCTCGCTGCAGGAGCGCTTGCAGGTATCACGTCTGTCTGTAAGTTGGTTTCACAGGAGTATTCGGATCTGCAGCTTACTCATAGTATGTCAACGGCTAGGCGCAACGTATCCTTTAGACCTTGTCCGTTCCCGTCTCTCGATCGCGACCGCGTCCATCCCACCGCAATCGGCACCTGCTACTGTGTCAACGCAGCCGCCGCTCTCGTCTGCATATCATACCGCATCTATTGCTTCACGGACAACGGCCGGGTTCAATCCGAAAGATCTGACGATGTGGGGGATGACATTGAAAGTTTTCCGCGAGGAAGGCGGTGTGCGCGCACTGTATCGCGGGATCATGGCCACTGCAGCAGGCGTGGCACCATACGTTGGTACGTCCCCACTTCCAATCCCTCAACTGTGACTTCCGCCGCCTCGGTGCTGTTTCATCATCGCGCCGTCCCCGTACATGTTGCAGTGTGCCGTGGCGGCTGCGCCGGGTTTTGATCAATGATGCATGTGCGATCCATGTTGACCACCCCATCTACAGGAATTAATTTTGCAGCGTATGAGGCGCTCCGTGGCGTCATTACACCTCCGGGCAAGAGCAGTATCCCCCGCAAGCTTTTGTGCGGTGCGCTTGCAGGTGAGGCTCAATTGATACGGTCATACTTTGCTAACGATAGTGCCATCGACAGGTTCAATATCGCAAACGTTGACCTACCCGTTTGATGTGCTTCGCCGGAAAATGCAAGTAATGGGAATGGGCGCCCTTGGGATCAAATATAACGGGGCGCTAGATGCTCTTCAGAGCATTTTGCGGACAGAAGGAGCGCGGGGGTTATACAGGGGGCTATGGCCTAATCTGTGTAAGTTCCCTTCAGGTGTCTGATGGAATGCGTCTGCTGACGTGCCTGATTCGATTGTATTACGGGTCTCACTCGGCTTCATTGTTATTGGTTGCAGTGAAAGTCGCCCCCAGCATTGCAACATCGTTCTTCACTTATGAGCTCGTAAAGGAGTTGCTTGGAGCATCATGACTATGACACCTATGACGGACGTCTGTCGGTGGGGCGATGTGAGGAAGATTTCGGATGTGCTACTGTCCATGGGGACCGGATCTTTGGAAGCAGACGGAGGCTTTGGTTGATAATAGATGGGTTAGCCTAGTACATTCTAACTAGCGGTTTCTGTATACATAGATTATCGACTACATATATTGGTTTCTCCTTGGCACACTGCCTGCGACGGATGGCCGGCGCACGAACTTGCCGGAGACCCGGAGACCCGCAGAGGTCCGGGGCACATGCCGAAGAAGGCAATCAAGGGGGCGTTCCCACTTTGTGTGGCCGACGCTGTCCTCGCCCACGTCGACGCCGCCGCAGCCTGCCCCGCCCTCTCCAGCCGATGAGTCTCCACAGCTGAGCGAGGGGTCCTCGTGAGTGTCTCCGTCCTTCTTCCTCCCACACACTCTAAATCTCCCGCAGTATCGCCTCGCATCTGCCGCGTTGCTCTTTGCGCTCTCCTTACGTCGGCTTGCTCATTTGTCTTGCTCTTCACGCTGCCCTCTGTCGCGGAGGTCTTCGTCTATCTTATTTCCTTTCTTCTTTCTTTCTCTTCTCTATCCTGCTATTCAGTCTCCTTAGACCCTTTCATTATTCTCTCTGCAAGCACGAGCGATCTCGTCGTACGCTGGCTGATACCTGATCCCCGCCATGCACTACACGCAGGCCCTCGCGCGCTCGCGGGACGGCCACACACATGCGTCTTCCAGCAGCTCTCTCTCTTCCGCAGCCCCTTCGGAACTCCTCCACGCGGCGCCTCCATCCAATTCGTCCCAGTCTGATCTCGCTACCGATATCTCGTTCTCCTCCGTCTCCTCGTCTTCTTCGAATGTCAAGCACGCCCTCCCGGGCAGACATCACCGCTTCTTCCCACTTCTTCAGCATCGCTCCCCTTCTGCCTCCTCGCCGTCCCCTTCAATTGCGACCCGCTCGGGGTCGATGGGTCAGTCATTAGCGTCTTTTAGCACGCCTGCCCAATCATCCCGGCCTAGTTCCCCTTCTGGAGCAGGTGGGCGGTTCAAACGCGCATGGGCCTCGCGGAAGAAAAAGAGTGAGGATGCGTCCTCGATCCTGACGGAGGCGGGCTCGGTCGCGAAAGGGAGGCAAATTTCGCGCGATAGTGGAGCTGCTTCTGCGTCTACTTCCGACCTCTCAGACACTCAGTCTTATGGCCGTCCTCAATTATATTCACAAGCGCAACCACCTTCCAGCTTGCCCTCTGGTAGTCGTTCTGCGAGAAACCTCGCGCCGTCATCCAAGCTGGGTGTCTTTGGTGTTGGAAAAAGGCCGCGGACACCCGATCTTCCGTTGCCTGATGGTCTTGGTAGATCCTCTCCCCCCCCACCTCCACCACCCAAGGAGTCAAACACGAAAGTCACGGTTTCAGCGTCCGCATCCCAGCGTTCCCTACGCTTGCCCGTTGTTGAGGATGATGCGATACCTTCGGCTCGGCGCCTCAAAGATAACTTACCGTCGCTACCGTCCTTGCCTTCTTCGTCCACATCACCGTCGCCGTCGTCAGCAATTGAGAAGCTCAAAGAGGATTGGCGTAAGAGTGACTCAACGATGACCTCGCACATTACTGTCCGCCCTGGAACATTCACTGGGAATAGATCTCCACGTCCTGTCTCATTGGCGGAGTCGAATCATTCTGGTAATACTATTGTACCTGGAATGCCCGTGAACAAGAGGCTAAGTGCCCTCATTACGGACTCCGAGTTCAGGATGGTGGAGGAAGGACCGGGATCAGATGAGGACGAGGATAACGGGGTTACCGACAACACGAGGGACAGTGAAGGGGAGAGCTTGTCAAGACTGTCTTCCAGAGAACTCGATAGCAGGAGAGTTGTCGATGGCCAGGCTCGAATCCATACTGCTACAGATCATCTGAAGGCTCGCAACCGCCGCTCAATGTCCCTCAACTTCGGTCCTGGACATGCTTTGCCCATAGCAAGCAAGTCGGAGTCGATCGCACAAGCGCTTGTACGACCACCATCTACTGTTGGTCATCCCTTACCAGGGAAATCCATGGGCGATAGAAGTTTGCCTGGTCCATCATTATCCACTACGATCTCGCGCGATACGCCAACGTTAACGCGAGCCGCTGCTAGCGGGATTATTGCTCCACTGAACGCGGCAGGTTCGCAGCATACCACTGGGAGCAATATCAAGAATCGTCTTGCGGCTTGGACGTCGGCTTCTGCAGGATCTACGCCTATCCAAACTCATCCAAACAGACCACTGCCGCCTGCTCCAGTTCAAGCGCAGCATTGGCGCCGTGCACAGAATGCGAGCTCAACTTCGTCCCAACATGCCCCCCCGTCTTTTCGGCAGACCGCTGTAAGCATGACTGGCAGCTTAGCACCTGCTGCTGGGCTTGCTGTGGGGTTTGGGAAGCGAGTAGTCGGTAAGGTTGTAGGGAAGGCGTGGGGTGGGTTGAGCTCATCGTCTAGCAGTGCCAGTGCCAGTGCCGGCTCGGTGCAATCATCATCTACATCATCCATTGCATCTTCCGATCATGGGCACGGATTCTCACTCGGGCGGACGGTATCTAAGGAGTCAAGCAGCGTCCTATCGTATTCCACTGCAGCATCTGCGAATGCCGGTAAAAAATCGAGACGTCGTGCAAAGTTCGGACATGCGCCAAGTGTTGCTTCAAGTATAACATCTTCTTCAGCGGCGTCTGATATCGATGGGCTTACTGCTTCGGGGCCTGTACTGGGGCGACGACTTCGGGGTCCGAGGCGCAATTCCCAAGGCGTAAGCATTATTGGTGGCCTAGTATTTAAGCGGGATCTGCAAACTTGTGTCGCGGACACGGCGATTGACGGCATATTTCAACGAAGCGAAGGTGAAGAACAAGGAATGAGAATTTTGACCGAACGAAGATTGCCCGCTCTTATAGTACGATGTTCTCAACATCTGCTAAGATGGGGATTACAAGAAGAGGGTCTCTTCAGGTAAGTGGGGGCTAACGTACAGAAATCAAAACTAATTACTGATACTCATGGTTCAGGGTAAGCGGGCGTTCCTCGCATGTTGCAAGGCTCCGGTCAGAGTTTGATGCAGGTGAGTCGGCGTCCTGGGTAACATCCTTTTATACTGATCTCTTCTAGGATCCGATTGGGATATGGTGGACTCTGATCCTTCAGATCTTGATCCTCATGCTGTAGCCTCTATATTCAAGACTTATCTGCGCGAACGTGCGTCTTTTCAATTTCTCAATCTTTAATCCGCTAACATCTTGTGCAGTTCCGGAGAATATCCTGACGAAAACACTGATACCTTATTTTGAATCTGCTCTCGCCGCAGAAGATGAAGCCAGCAGTGGAAGTGTCGAGTCGGCTGACAAGGCAGGCCAGCCTTCCGCCCCTTCACACAATCGCAGTGGTTCTGCTCTTGCCTTGCGGAAGGCCCCTTCGTTGTCTACACTTGCCGTGCCCAGCTTTGCTGGCCGGCGTTCTGTTTCAGAGTCTCTCCTCAGTGCACTGACTTGGCTTATCGCACAACTACCAACGGAAAATCGTGATCTCCTCTACACTGTAGTCGAGCTCATTCGTGCCACCGCTGCCAACAGCAAAGAGACAAAAATGCCTCTAGGTAATCTACTACTGGTATTCTGTCCTAGCCTGAACATGAACCCCACCCTTCTTCGCGTGCTCTGTGAGCATGAAGTCATTTGGCATGGTATTCCCAAGACCGAGCCAATACCTATGGGGCCCTCGGAACCTCAGGAAGATGATGTTGACATCAGAGCAACCTTTGTGACGGCTCCAGAATCTCGCTTGAGCATTCAGGACGCGGTATTGAGTGGGGAGGAATTAGCCACGGAAGACGAAAGTTCTGCCTTTTCTGCGCCTGACGACGATAACGTGGTTTCGGTTCAACAGGTTAGTGGGATGGACATCGTTGAGACTAGCGTGGCCAACCACACTGTTCAGGTGGTCTCTATGGAAACAACAGACGAGGAACATTGCCAAGTTCAAGCTAATTCGCAGAAGAAGGCGGAGGACCCTGCAATCCCTTCCATTGACCTTGTCTTATTGCCGCCAATCAGCCCGGTATCGCCAGTATCTCTTAAGGATGACAGCGCGTCGTTCTTCTCTGCGCTGGAGCCACCTTTGTCCACGCCAACTCGCACGCCTAGCCCTATTTCTCGCAACGTTAGTGGTCACAGTGGCTTTGATGGAGAGACCAGTCCCCCGGCACTCCCCCCCCTCTCGTCTAGTACAGAATCATTAAGTTCTCCGTCTGAATCATCAGAAGAACCGACTTCACCTGGGGATAAATTGTCTACAAGACTCGATGGAGACAGCTGTGAGGATAGGGTGAGCAAAGAGGAAGAAAGCCGCAAGCCACAAGCGCACGCGCAAGCATCACTCTCCCAAGACTCTTTGGACATCCCGGATCCTCATCATGACTGCGTTCTTGTCCAGGCAATTCCTGTCCCATCGACAGAAGATGTCAAGATTACTATCCCTCTTGATAAGTCATCATCAACGACAGTTCCATTCCCCTCCTCTGGTGGTTCCTCGCCGGATACACCGATATCACACAGGAAGTCCTTTGCTTTTTTTTCTTTCCCCTCTTTGCGTTCCGACCCGGGAACCAGTCATGTTTCAGTTTCCGCGTCAGCGTTCAGCACTCCTGTGGGACCGCCGTCGAGTTGGCATCGTCCCCAGCGACCGTCGCTTCACTTGCTATTGCGCAAATTGTCTGGATCGTCTTCTGGCATCGATCACTCGTCCGTGGAGAGTGTGGGGTGTTCGCCTGCAATGGCGAGCGTACCCGCTTTACCTACCGTTTATGGTACATCCCAAGCGAAGTCCGCAGCAGCTTCAGTTCCGGCCTTGGGTGTAATGCTCGATAAGGGGCGAGATCGTTCGGATGAGGACCGCGGCTCGAGCATGTCGGAGTTTGCGCCGAAGCTGAACACATCCATTTCTTCCTCTCCGATTCAATTGGGATTTGGTGAGGAAAGTGCAGAGGTACCCACTACGGAGTCACGGAATAGCGGGGACAACGCATCGCCCTCGACTCTTGCGGTACCTGCCATGCGGATTGATGTGGACGAAAGTGCTTCGCCTATGTCTTCCACTTCCGAACCAGGTCCGAAGGCCTTCGAAAGATTTGGCGGTCATACTCGCTCGCGCACTGAGTCGTTTGCTCCCTCTTTGTACACAACCCCCTTAGGGACGACACCACAAACACCGATTGCAGACTTGTATCAAAATTATAGCAGGTCGAAGTCGGCAATGTCATTTTTCAACGACGTGGACCGGCGTCTGGGCGCGGACGCTGATACGACGGGGGCTAGACATAAGGATAGGGACGAGACAGTACGTATCATGGCGCGCTCACGTTCGGAGGCGTCGCAGGTGTCCGTGACGCCATCGCTCGAGCTATCAGTGGACCACTCGCAGGACGATTGGGCGGAGAGTGTTTTACTCGCTGCACAAGGCCAGTCTGTCGAGACGAAATCAGAAAGGAGTAACAGCAATGGAACTGCTTCTGTGTAGACGTGGTTTACTTTACCATCCCCATTCTACATTGTACATGTTAATATGTGGTACATGTTACTTACGCACATCTAGCACTAACGCGCACTGACAGAATATTGGGACTTCAGTTTGCATTCATTTTGTCTATCTCCATCGATCGTTACACATGTTCTCATCTACGTATACGTGTCTTGCACTGTCTGGTACCCTTTTTGCACTTGTTACTGATGTTTATGCATCTCCATCGCCTAGTCATTATCGCTGCATCATGATATCCCTCGCATTCATTGATTTATCCGCACTCTCAGTCCTCTATGATTGAGCTGAGAAGGGCGCAGTGCAAACCAGAACTAAGTTCATATAGCTGATCCATGTACTTATCATTTATTGTTTATAGCTATGCGACTTGTGCATAATCCATGAATGCTACGGAAGTTTCTATATCTACATATCAAGGGATAATACAGATACATATACATTGCAAGGCTTCTTGCATAACCAGATGGCCACGATAGCTTGAATCACGATATTCACGCATTTATGAGATCTATAGAGCGTCAGGAGAAAGATCACCAAGAGTGTTCAAGTCGGCAGCGCTGTAAGCACTATGAAGAGAGTGCGTTTCATCGCCATATTCAGACTGTGTGTCAATGTGTTCCTAAATTGAAGGTAGAATGAGTATTTGTAGTATGTCCTGGAGTAAAGAAGACCATACATCAAAGTAATGGTGTGCAAGGCTACGGGGAGCTGCAGGAGACGCATGAGCCAATCGAAAGCTGTACGAGATTCGAGCTCACTTTTCGGTGTCCTAGGAAGTCGGCAGGTCGCCCCACTTTGCAGGATATGGTAAGCAACGAGACCGGACCTGCACAGGATAAACATCTAATTTGTACCCGCGCGAGCACACTTACCACCCAGTCTGATGAGAAGCACCCAAACCACGGCCGTCATCCGCATGGAAGTACTGCAGCAGTATGAAAATCTTGTGGTATACACGACCAGATTGGCGTACCTCATGAAACCAGACATAATCTCTGAAGTGAGAGTCATGGTCGAGTTTAGGGTTACCACCATTGGCTGCACGTCTGCCTTCGACATCACGCCCGAAAATATGGATGATTCTATGTTGAATCTCCTCGGCAACTTCCACCAAGTTCATATATTCGCCGCTGCCAGTCGGGCATTCGATCTAGGCGCAATAAAATCAGCCATCGAACACGGTAAAAACAGTCAAATTTACTTGTAGCTCATCGCCATAGTATTGATAAAATCTCTGGAGGCTTTCTATCAGTAAAAAATTAACCGCCAACCCTACGCACGGCACATATCAATGGTCAGAGCAATACACAGCGTTTCAAATTCGTGCGTACAGATTGGACCCCTCCAATTTGAATTTCCCCCGAACATGCCAGACTTTGAATCCCCAGGCCAATAATTCACTTCATAGTGTTCGCCATGAACGTCCATTCCCCAAGGTTGATCTTTGTGCTTTTTGGACAGTCTGGCCAGATTTATAAGTACAAGCGTAAGAGAGGTCCACAGTAGTGGGATACGCACGAACGAATGCCATGTTCGCTGAAGAACTCGTCCTCGTCAAGCATTTTCTCCAAGATACGGATTAAGCGATCTTTACTCGCAAGCGCCAAGAGCCTCCGCTCTCCACGTCCCTTCACTATAGTGACACCGACACAGATGAAAATCGAATGCATATTGAATTAACTCGAGCAAACCTTTTATATTAGCCATATTTCTTGCCGAGAGCTCAGGCCTATTGTCAATAAACCACTCTAGACGCTTCTTGAAACCCGGGAAGCGGTTAATGGTTGCTGGTTCTAAGACGAGGGTGGCATAAAGAGGTATAAGACCGACAAGACTGCGGACTGGCAATTGCATGGATGAGCCTGAGTCGAATTGAATTACGTCATAGTAAAGGCCATCTTCTTCGCTCCAGAGATTGAATTCATTGTCGCCCTGGCGATACGTCATCGCATCAGCAATGAAAATGAAATGCTAAGACATTATCATCAGCTATTAACGAATGTAAACAATGATTGCCGGTACGCTAACCTCGAAAAACTTGGAAGCGATGTCTTCATAGACTGAGTTGTGCTTTGCTAACTCCAAGGCAATATTCATCCTGCGGTGGAGCATGTCAGCACCAAACACACACACAAATTGAAAGGCCCACATGTTAAGGCAGTAAAAGGCCATCCAAGCAGTGCCATCTGCTTGGCGTAACACACCACCGGTAGGTAACGGTTCCGAACGATTGAAAATACCAATGTTGTCTAAACCGAGGAAGCCGCCTTCAAAGACGTTGTTGCCACCTTGGTCTTTACGATTTACCCACCTAGAGCAAATGCCTCTTAGGCGAGATTTCCCATACCCGTGTAGGACAAGACGCACCATGTGAAATTTAGCAACAATTTTTGGAAAACACGCTCGAGGAATTGGATGTCCTCCTTCCCGTACAATTTTCTCTCGATCTTGAAGACGCGGAAAGTGGCCCTATAAAGGGTTATTTTTTATTCAAAAGACGAAGAGTCGAGCCTACCAGGCATGAACAGGCGGATTCACATCACTGAAATTCCATTCATACGCTGGGATCTGACCATCGGGCTTCATGTACCACTCGCGCGTGAGTAGATCGAGCTGTTTTTTGGCGAACGCGGGGTCAACAATGGCGAGCGGTATACAATGAAATGCTGTATCCCAAGCCGCGAAAAACGGATATTCCCATCTAGAAGAGCAAGGTATAAAGAAAGCGAATGATAGAACGTGGAAAGCTCACTTGTCGGGCATAGACAAGATGTCCGCGATGTACATATGCTTCCATTCCTATGTATTCATCACTTGTCAGCAGTGATTTCTGCGATATGAAAACCTGACTTACCTTGTTCCTAACGAACTTACGTTCAGGAGGTGGTGGTGGCTGCGCGGGATCTCCTTGCATCCAGTCATGCTGGATAAACTGATAGAATTGCTTCGTCCAAAGCATGCCACCTAGAGCTTGCCTCATGATCTGCTTCAAATCGTCCGTCATGGGGCCCATAACCAATTGGTTGTAAAATTCATCTGCTTCCTGCCTACGCTCCTCAATCGCATCGTCAAATACCCCTTCGTCTTCAATACTTGGATCCTGGCCTGGCTTACGCTTCGTTAATTTGAGCCTCACGACGGCACAACCACCACGTGCGGGAACATTCTCAAAGACGTAGTGTGCCGCAGATTTTGTACCTCGTTGTTCAGGGTTCACGAATGATGGCGTCTGCGGGAATGGGGTACGCGGGCCCTCTTCTTCTTCTGAACTTGATGCTTCTGCTGCATCCACGGTCTCTCTGAATTGCGTCTCGCGAGAGGCGGTTCCAGTATGGATTTTGGTAGCAAAGAAGCCGGGATGGTTACCATCCGAAGCAGGAGGACGATGGGCAGAGATGATATGATCATGAAAGGCATCCTTGACGAAAGGTGTCTCGTTCTGCCCACCGTACAGCCGATGAAAATTGGTATTGTTTTCTGTGAAAAGCAACTCTGGTTCCACAGTATCAGAATCATCACCTTCCGGTGCATCGTTGTCAAGAACGGGAGATCCGTTTGCGTTGACCGGCGGCGGCGAGGGAAGACAATATAGGTAGAACTTGCCGAGAGTCGGATGCACTGCGGTAACAACGCTATTGCCAGCAGCTGACATCACTGGCATTTTCGGCTTCTCATTCGGCCAAGACCAGTAGTTGGTAAACCAAAATTGTGGGATGATGTGTAGTGTGGCCGGGTCGGGACCACGATTGTATGAGGTTATACGAACATAGATGCTATCGGGATCTTGTTCGTCCTTAGCATACTGTAAATTGCATAAATCAATTTTGATAGTTCCATGTAGCAGCCAAATGAGACCTACCTCAAGGAACACATCCCAATATCGATCGTCATCATATACGTCTGTGTCTAAAATTTCAAACTCGGAGACATTCCGATCCCGATGCATGTTTTCCTCCACTAGTTCCTCGTAAGGATATGCTTTTTGAGGATATTTGTATAAGAACTTCATATAAGAATGGGTTGGAGTCGAGTCAAGATAGTAATACAGCTCTTTGACATCTTCGCCATGGTTTCCCTGGTGGCCAGTGACCCCAAATAGGCGCTCCTTAAGAATGCGATCCTGGCCATTCCACAGCGAGAGAGACAGGTTGAGGCGCTGGTGATTATCTGAGATACCAGCGATTCCATCCTCGCCCCATCTATAAGCGCGCGATCGCGCGTGTTCGTGAGGAAAGTGACTCCAGGCGTCTCCATTAGCAGAGTAATCTTCTCGGACAGTCGCCTGATTGTGCGTTATTGCAGGCAATCAAATTGTGGGGGGATAGCACGCACCCACTGCCTGTCACTGACGTACGGACCCCACCGCTTCCAGTGTGCCTCCTTGCGAGCATCCTGATTGAGGCGATACCGTTCTGTACCATGATATTCGGAACCAAGCTGCTCTGCAAGCCTAGTGCGGAAAGACGGTAGAACCTCGTCGCGATTGTTTTGCTTCGGAGACGAGGACTCGCCTTTAGAATCAGCCTTAGATAGTTTGGGAGGCAGGGCAAGCTGGGGAGGCGCAGAGGAAGGCTTTGGGATGCTAATGGTAAGAGCAGGATCTGACGACGAGCGAGAAGAGGCGAGATCGTTTGCGTTGTCATTCTCGCCTCTGAAGATCTTTCCTTGGATTTTCTTTGACTGAGACATGAGAGAGATCGTGGGCGGACAAAACCAACGTTGCGCACAGACGCCCACAGTGCTCGCGTCCGTCAAGCTTCAAGTCGCAGACGTCATCGCGTGGGGTCAGGCTTCACGTGATCGAATGAGAGCAACGACTGAGACATAATGGTGAAGGAAAACAGATATGTACAGATCGTTATCTTCCAAGAACGAGAGTCGCACCGAGACACAGGTCACTAGCCACAGCAGCCATCATCGACGTTCCAGCCAGCGCGATTCCTTTTTGTGCTTAAATCTGCGCACTCTGATTATCCTCGCCTATGCGGGAGTAGCAGGAGTGGACCCTCCACGAGCCTCGTGGAATCCTTTCGAGACAATCAGGACTGATCAAAGCATGTATCTGGAGAACACTCACCTCGACCACGACCTCTTCCCCCCCTACCGCGATGCTCACCTTCCCCACCCCTCCATTCACCATTCGACTTCCCACGATGACCTAATGAACAAATCAGTCTAGGCAAAAAGACCTTGTAGAACGGGATTATTACCTCCCCTGTCTCCGCGATAGCCACTTCGATAGCCACCTCGATCTCCACCTCGCCCTCGGAAGCCACCTCGCTCACTTCGCTCACCCCGGAAGCCACCTCTCCCCCGCCCACGACCCCGTGCGTGAGAGAATCCATCGTCGTCGCGGGCAATTGCGTGCTGCCCATTCAAACGCGCTCCATTAGCAACTGGCGTTGAAGGTACCGAACTGTTGGGCACAGAAATATCTGGCTTTCCGAATTCTGCATGAAGACTGCCAATTGAAGGCAATCCTCCTTCGTCTTCGTCTGCCCAATTGATGGCGCCATCCCCCACAGACTCAATGGCCTGCAAACCAATGAGAAATTGCAGAATCTATTGCAGAGACGACTTACCTCAGTAATTGTCGTCACACTGACCGCTTCTTGCACAATACGCTGACTATTTGCTTCCGTCTCGACCAGAGCTTCAACGATCTCTACTTCGGTAGAAGGTTCGGCCGACAATTGACTGTCCAAATCATCTCTTTGAGGCCGTTCAGCACTATCAGATTCTGGTGTTTGAGATTCAAGTTCATCCTCCTGCATGAAGTGGAAACTGCCCGAGCTAGCTAGAACTGGAGGGAGGCCCGTAACACCGACGTCAACTTGACTAGTTTCTTCGATCACACGGTCCACCGTGTCAGTATCCTGAACCTCCTCAACAGGCGTTATCACCGGGAGAAGACTTAAGAACAGCTGTACGATGTCGTGAAGGCGGGAATCTAAAATAGGCCATTAGCTAGACCATATGACTAAGATCAATCTCAGAATACACACATGGGACATCACGATAGACCCCCTCCCCAGATAAAAAGCCACTGATAAAATCCATTCTGCTGTCACTGTCATCCCCGACTAAGGTGTCGGCTGCAGAATAAATGGCAGCGCCTTCGGGTCCATCCAAATCTAAGGCCATCACCGCAGGATTTCCAGAAGCCATCCTATCTCGCAAACGCAATAAGTGCAGCATGTTAGCAGATTTTCGCCGTTGAGCAACCTAGGGACTTGAATAAATACAAGCAGCAGCGGATAAGGATCCAAGATCACCTCCGCTTCGACCACTGCTTCAAGCAGCCTCTGCCGTTCAGCTTCGATGGCTTCCGCTTGTTTTACTGCGTATTCCTGCGCAACCTCTGCTTCATGAACCTGATATGACTTCTTAAAAGGCGGCTTGTCAGACATTGACACTTCTCTGGACTAACCGAGATTGCCTTCTTGACTTCCTCGAGTTCTTTACGCACTGCTTCAAGGCCAGGAAGCGTTTTGAGTAGGCGCTTCTGATCGTCATTCAGTTTTTCAGGTGGCTCCGACGAATAAATCTCAATCCTCGTCTAGTTATGACAGTCAGATATGGCATCACACAACACACATGGACTTGGATAGACATAAGCAAGTGATCATTTTCGGGAAGAACGCTACTCCTTGACAGCAAACATAACATTCGTACTCACTATTTTCTTTTGAATTGCTTTCAGCCGCTTGCTGAGCATTTCAATTATAGGACTTGGCTTTTGAGAACCTTCCTCCACCGGGGTCTGAGCTTCATCTTGCTGGGCAACAAGCTCCACCGCAGCAACACTCTCCTTCACGCCGGACTCTATCGGTGCTGCCTCAGGAGTTATGACGTCCGGCATGGATTCATCGACGACACTTGGCTCTGCTGATTTTGCTTTCGTCGCCTTGCGTTTTTTCTTCTGTAACTTGGATTGGGGAGCGGGCGGGGGCGCACCGGGAACAATGCGCAGAGCAGACGACTGCGGTTCAGACATGACGCTGTTTTAACTTGGGATCAGTGATGTTTGAACTCGTGAAGGGATGCACGAGAGTTTGCCAGTTGGGAGTGGTTGATGAGTGGATGTAGAAAGTTGGGGAAGACTACGAAAGTTCAAGGTCGTCATTCGGTTCGGCGGGTTGGTTTCCCACGGCACATGCTCATAGACTTGGCGGATATCGGTCTATGCACGGTGGGTATCTGGCCGCACATTGTATATACTAGTTCTGCATACCCCATTCCATACTCTGAGCACCACCCGCATCCGATACATCAGTGCTACAGGCGAATCGCGTGATGGCGACTACGACCTGAGCTATATCGATTGTATATCGTCTTGATGACTTGCAGCTACGCTATAGTGTTGTGCCCACTGCCAGTGGCACTCATTTGACAAGACATTGTAAGTGGGCCAAATGCAATACATGGATGCGTACCACTCCGTGCCGACTGCTTTAAAAATCCGGGTGCGTATGGGTTTTGACACATAGGCTGATACACAACGCACAGATGCTGCGATATTGTTGCCGACCCTCAGCTCAGATCGTAAGGAATGTCAGCCGCCATTACCTTGATATTGAGGTGAACAAATTATGCTGCAAAGCGCACCCCACGAACGATCGACTCCGTCAATGGCGCTGAATGGAGATTTCAGCTCAAATCGACATGGCGCAGCGGGCCAAGAAGACTATGAAATTCTGATCCGTCACCCAGAGCTATCATTTGACGATGCCAATATCGCTGTTGTCGCTGGGCATCAGTATTTTCTTGTTCACAAAGGACTGTTGTGCCACCATTCGGCCACCATCAGACATTCCCTGCGATCTCCACGCGTGGACATAGGCCGACTGTTGGAGGGGCGCCCTGCTCTTATTTTGCACGATTCTCCAGAAGAGTTGGCCCACTTTCTTCGAGCGTTGTATGGGTATGTTTTCATGAGTTAGACTTATGAATACTCGCACTGAGACACAGCACAGATTTTGCCTCAATATGGAAGATATCGATTTCCGTACTGCATCAGCTCTACTCAGAATGTCGACAAAGTATAACGTGGAACACCTACGAAAGGAGGTCCTCCGCGTGTTGGCGCTTTCATGGCCTATCACACTGGGGCTATGGGAGACCAGGGAACAAAATGCAACTAGTGCTAGTGGTGTGTATGCACCACGTCCAGCACTTCCTCATCCTATGTAAGTTCATGATGTAGTCCTCTTTGATTTTGTTAACGATCAACCTAAGCGTAATAATCGAATTAGCTCGAGAAGTCAACGCACCAGAATTGCTCCCTTCCGCGTTTTACGATTTATCTCGCTATCTTCCGAGTCAGATTGTCACTGGTTACGTCGATCTCATACGTGGAACAGCTCACCAACTGGCAACAGAAGACCTATTACGGGTATTACGCGGGAAGGAACAAGCCGCGCGCTTCTTTTCTACATTCATCGTGAACGAAATCGAAGGCCGGACACCATCAGAGGCTTGCTGTCGACAACACGCTCCAAATCCGAACGGTCAGCGTGCTTGTCAAATTGCCTTTGAAGCCATCAACTTTGAATTAATACGCGACGTAAACGGTATGGTATGTAACCGCAACTCGGATCCTTTGTTCGCGATCTCCGACAGTTTTATGATGCAAACTCGCGACGACCTTCCTGGCGTAGAGAACATGGCCGTGTATAGAGCTTGTGAGGTTTGTCGACTAGAGTACGGCACCGTGGTCGAGGCACTGCGGCAAGAGTTCTGGAGGAAGATTCCGGAATGGTTCGAACTGGAAATATCTGTTTGGGGCTGAATGTCGAATCCTGGATGCGGCTACGTTAACTAGGTATAGTGTTCTCGTTTTGGTTTTGTCGTATGCCTATCATAATTGCATTTTAAGCGGGTCTTTGAACTTTGTACCTGCCACAGGACACGGGCAAGTGGCGCCCTGGGTCACGAGCCTGCGTCGCGCGACGTGCCAGTCGCAGGCTTGGCATCATTGAGTGCATATAGTCTCCTTCAACACTTACCTAGCTTGATCGCCTCACTTCAGTCTCCACTTAGTGCAGCTGAGATCAAAAGCTTTCAAATCTTGCACTTTCACCTTGTCGTACTGACGCGCATATATAGCTAGACTGACGTCGCATTTGGCCGCCTTGTTCACCGTCTATATACGTCTCAAAGGCAACCACTTTGATTTGGTTCCATTCGAGATGTTCGTGGATGCCAGCATCGATACGCTATTGGACTTTGATTCCGAAGTGGAAGAGTTTGCACCGGAATACTCACAAACGGCAACGTTTGACAAGTCCCGACCCAGTACTGACAGCGTGACACCCGAAGAGGATGAAGATGGTACAAATGCAACGTAGTTTTTCCTCTTTTAATCCAACTTACTCATGCTGAATATTCATCACTTCATAGAAAGGAGGCAACTCAACCTTTGGAGGCTCTTGTTTTGTCTTTCATGTCACAGCTGTCAGAAGCACTAGTGGTTTCTAAAAGAGCGACGAGGAGCAACAAGAGTAAGAATGTTGTAATCGAATTAGTAAATCGTAGAAGGATTTCTTCGAATGGGTGTGTTTACAAGGTATTGTATAACGCCAATTTAATGAGAGGTTCCCTAGCACCCCGGCTGTTCGTGTCTTGAGGTATCCTCAGAGGACTAGAGGGAGTAGCGCAAAGTCTATTGGTACGTGCATATTCATTGCACGGTCTCAAATTATCTAGCTCATCTTAGCTATGAATGTTCTATACAGCCCAACTGTTCAAAGTCATGGATTTGGCGCACAATGCTATTGCCGAGGCAGTTCCCATTACCAAACGGTACAATTGTTGTTCTAATATTCGCCTGATCGTCTATATGTTTCTCGTAGCGATATTTATTACCACGACGTGAAACTGTTCAAGTCGCAAGCCGTTGTTGATAAAGTTCGTCCCTCGCTTTCTTCAACAACTTTTGAAATGAAGGATGCGTATGATAGTTAATTGAGGATTTGGCCGCTACCTTTGATATAAGAAGAGGCGACCTGTTCATTGTACGTCACTGAATGGGCTTCAGAAATTTTTGTGAAAATGCTTATTATTTTTATAGCGTGCTTCCTCCAAGGGACTTGTGTCCGGGTCTCAGCTACGTATCCACTTGAAGCACGGAGATACTGCTTCCACTAGTGATACCGAAGTGTGATTTCTATGCAATGCTTCCTGCCCTCTTTGACGCTTACCGTCATTAAGTGCACTCTGATACCTTCCTCTGATGACATTGCTTCGTTCGAGGTCACAGAAGCCCTCACATGGGTCCTAATTGTTGAAAAAGAAGTTTGGACGTCCATTTTATTTCCTCGTTCCTCGTTTCACAATATAATCTCTGTAGGCCGTCTTCAACACCCTGTGTAGGCATGAATTTTCTCGGCACCCGTGCTTACCTGGACGTGGGATAATAATTACGGTGACTTCTGCCCACTTCTCTCTGGTCAGATCAGCTCACCCGCTCCAGGGAAAGGGCTATCCTGATTTAGCCACCAGAGAGCTCGTCAAGACCCTTGCAGACAACCTGCCCGCTAGGTTTGTTACTGATGCACCTGAATCCTCTTTAAATTCCAATAGTCGAATCTTATCAGGATTCCGATTGTTGCCCTTGTCGATGGCGATGCATATGGTATTGACATACTTTCTGTATACAAGCACGGGAGTATAAGTATGCATTACGACAAGGACAATCTATCCGCGGATCGAGTTGAATGGTTAGGAATACGAACCAGTGAATTGGCGTCGTAAGTTTGTTATCACAGCTGGACTATCCACGCTAGACAAACCCCCACTAGGCTGGGTATAGGAAGAGAGGCGCTAATACCCATTACAAAACATGATGAGAAAAAGGCCATTCATAATGCGTACCGTACAATGGTGTCTTTATTGAAGTTATTTTATACAGGCTTTGACAATGCTCCGCCGTCCAGAATTAGCCCAGGAGTGGCGGTATGTCGTTCTGTTATAATGCTGCTCGAATTATTATGTACAGTTGACTCATTGATACAGACGCGAACTACAGTACATGCTTCATAATCGTCGGAAAGCAGAAATCGAGATTCTTTCTAGTGCACCACTTCCTATGCTGCTTGCAGAAGACTCCAAACCAATGCCCAGTCTCATTCGTTATCTTATTGATAAGATTTCCGAGTCTGTTGCAGGCTGCGTATGACATCGATTTGTATGTTTCTGGATCTGGGGCCTTTGTCTGTAGCGGAATCTGTTACGTATGCATGCCAGTATTCATCCTTCCCATTCAGTAATTCTTTAATCCTGTATTACGGGCAGTTGTTCGAATCAAATACACTATTTGGAAGTGAATATCCAAGTGTGAATGTATTTTGAGCAGCAATATCTATGAGTGCGTAATATGCTACTGTAAGGAGGAATGTGAGACATGTACCATCATAGTATTCCATAGCATGCGGGAGAGAATGCATGGTAGTATTGTCTATCTATGATGGTAGAGAGCAGCGTTGAAGGTTTGTATAGTACTGTATAGGCGTACCAGTAGAGATCTGTGGCCCAAGGAAAATAAAAGGATCTGTCGAAAACGACATTACGTCGCTATTTGTTAGAGGTAATTAAGTCAGTGTGAGGTCAAACAGTCAACTCGTTGAGCAGAAAACAGGCAGTACATAGAGACCAGACGGCAATATGGGAGGGAATCACGTATGAGCCCGCGTTCTGAGCCTGAGGGATCACTGTAGTTGTGGTCATAGTCAATGGCATAAAATTGGATAGAGAATCCATGCTAGGTGAGCCGCCGCTTTAGCAGAAAATGCGCGGGTCTAAGACAGCATAGAAGCTTGTATTGATTAGAATCAATCTGGCTGTAACAAGAAGTCAGCTCAGACAGACGGCTCTAAGTTCATGTCCTTAGGTGGGCAACCCCGCCACTGTTCGTAGGGAGATTCGGACAGGGTGGCGTTGAAACGCGGCCATGTGATGTCGATCGCGTTTATCACATGATGTTGACGCGTCTGCGCGTTGAGCCGGCGGAGTGTTAAACCGCGTCAACTCCGCCTGCATATACACACTCCCTCTTGTCTTGTCAAGCCCTTAGCGACTTCGTCGACCCACCGTTAGGCGTTGATCGGCTCTGTGCGACTATGCAGCAACCACGTACAACACGAAGCTCAGTACTCGGCAAGCGTCCTCATCAGTCGCCTTCCGAGCCAGCAACACCGTCCACGTCGGAGTGTCCATCGTCTCCAGCACAGCTGCCCTTCACGCCCGATTCCACTCCAAATCCCAAACGCCTTCGGGTATCCCCTGCTGTGGTAGACGGAGATGGTAATAAGGAAAATGTACCCCCCTTCCTAGTCGAGATCCTAGGGACTCCTACTTCTATAAGATCGCCTCGTACGCTGCGGCGGAATAGCACAGAAACTGCTATCAACGCTCGCCTGCGAACGAGTAAGTCGTTCCTTCTAGTCGGACAGTTATAATGTGCTAATCCCCTAATTATGCGTGCAGTTCGTCGGTATTCTTCAACATCAAGTCTCGCCGTCGCACCCGAAACCCCAGCCACTGCTTTCAATCACCTCTCCCTTTTTACACCGCCACCTACGCCACCCTCAGTTCTTCTACCTCTCCATGTGAGAGTCCGGGCTCTTCTTCGCCCGACATGTAATGGTGGCTCAGGCATGGCTGGCCGAGAAGCTGAGCTCGATATCGTTCGCAATTTCTTGCACGACTTTTCTCAGTGTGACATGGATATTGAGTCCACTTGGTCTGCACTCTACATATCGGGGTCGCCCGGTACAGGCAAGACTGCACTGGTCAACACCGCGTTAGATGCTTTCCGCTCGCAGGCTAATCGAGACGGCATAATCATTATGTCTGTGAATTGCATGGCCCTTACCAATCTAGATGCAGTCTGGGATAGATTAGCGGAAGGCTTGCAGGTTGACAAACGACACTCTCGGAAAGGTAAAAAGTCTCGTCAATCTTCTCGTCAATGCGTGGAGGCATTACTCGTGGAGCACAAAACAAAGTGGTATGTCTGCTATCTCCGTGCCATATGTTGTACTAAAAATCTCGAATCTGCCAGTGTCATCGTGCTTGATGAACTTGATCACATAGCTTCGAATTCGCAATCCCTTGCTTCCATATTTTCTTTAGCTCAATCACACAAATCGCAATTGCGGCTCATTGGCATCGCAAATACACACACCTTGACGTCGTCATCTACTGCCTTCACCCTAGAGTCGACTAAGGGCGTTGAAACCTTACATTTTGCCCCATACGCATCGGAGCAATTGCTCAGCATTTTAACAGACCGCCTCGACCCGCTAACTAATGATGCGGCTTGTGCTGGGAGGATGAAGAAGTTCATACCCCTTCCCTCGATGACGCTTCTTGCCAAGAAAATCGCTGCACACACAGGGGATGTTCGTGCAGCCTTTGAGGTTCTACGGAATGCTATCGATCTGGCTGTTACATCTAGCAAAACGCCTGACATGCTGGATAGTCCTGATCCCACAATTACCCCTTCACACATACTTTCCGCGTTCAAGGCTTTCGCATCCGTAAATACCACTCCCCGTCCAAAGAATATCGACGGGACAGGATCTGTCTATATGTCGGGAACATCTGATGGTGGCTTAGTGACAAAGGTGCGAGAGCTTGGGCTGCACTCGCGTCTTGGTCTTCTCGCCATGATGCTGGCTCGGCAACGGATCGACATGGGGCTGGCAATCTCTGGCTCTTCAGTATCCTCGACGGTATCCCCTCGATCGCCCATCAAACGGTCACACTCGGCTGTTCCGTCTTCGTCCCGCAAGACTTTGGATATGGATATCACGCAGCTGCATGCATTCTATTCGTCAATTCTGACTCGCGGCGATGGTTCCCTTTTTACACCTGTCTCTCGGAGCGAATTTGGAGATCTCTTAGGCGTAATGGAAACAGTCGGTTTGGTTAGCTTGACTTCAAGCTCCAATAGCTTACCGGGTACGCCGTCAAGAAGGCGAACATTTCGCCGCACTGCTTCAGTTACCAATGGCAGTAGTTCCGCCAGCGGGCACGAAGTTCGCTTCGTGGATGGCATACGGATGGAGGAAATAACTCGTGGGCTGGGGATTTCGCACCCGGATACTCCAGCTAACATCCCCAATGACGTACGCGAGGAGGAAGTGCGTGCGATCTGGAATAGGGAGAACGCGAGGATGGCGCGCGAAGCGAAGGCAACTGTAACCCGTCAGGAGAGGGACGACACATTCTCGGGAGCTTTAGAGAACTGACAACGCTCGAAGATAGCTGTAATATTCCCTTGGGCTCCTCATTTTTGCCATTTCACACATCACATTCTGCGTCAATGCTTGCTGTATCATTCTCATCGACTATTATATACTTCTGATCAGTGCTCATCGTCGGATGCCTATGGAGTGCCATCACTTGTAGCTATGCATTGCCAATTTGTTCGTTATGTCGCATTGTGGAAATACATCAATACGGACTCGTGTAAAGCTCACTTTAGCCTAATTGAGTAACAAGGTGCATGAGATTGATGGCTCACAGGGCATCCCACCAGTCCGTCGTGTCCAGTCTCGTCAGCAAGTCATGCCAATAACGAGAGGGATCACCTAGGTTGTTCGATAAGTGTGGTTCAGGTGGGCCAGCTGGCAGATGAGAATACCCAGAGCCTTTCTGAACTAATGCCTTCAATACTTTCACCTGGTGTGTTTTTCAATAAAGAAACGAGGACTACATGACATCAACCATCTCACCAAGGTTGAGATCCGATTCCTGAAGCGATTCCAAACATTTTCCAGTGCAACTGCGGCTCGATACTCGGGCAGGCGATCCATGTAACGCTCTCCGGCAAGGATGCCAAATTCCACCACAATATCTAAACAACCGCGCAGCAGGTCCCCAACCGACTTCTGACCAGAGCGCAGTAGACAGGCACTCAGTATATCATCCATCATTTGAGAATGACTTTCCGCCAAAGAGAAAACATCAGAGAATGCCGGTGAACGCGAAGGAGTCGCATCTTGTGATGGAGGTCGCAGTTTGTCCAAGAAGGCGTCGAATGTACCAGCGATAACCCTGTCGTAGAGGTAACTTGACAGTGACAGTACGAACGAATGCGTCACGAAGCGGAAATGAATAAGTAGTTCGTTCGAACGTGCCAAAGTAGGAAACAGCGGGTGGGATGCCTTGCGGGTCAGTCGAAAGATGGTCGCGATTACGCTATGGACTGGTACAACTTCAGCTGTGTCGTGATGAAAGAGTAGTCAAGATATATACCTCGCATTAGGCGTAATTGAAAGGCAAACATTCTGTGATATTTGGAGATAGTGCCGGGCGTAATCAACACGTCAAGTGGCTTTGGAGGTTGGTAGTCCAGATACAGAAAATCCAATGCTCTATAAATCATTAGTATGTCGTATGTCTTAAGAACAAGTGTACCGACTCAATCGCTAGAATCTGGTCAGCATCTATAGTTCTTTTGTCAAATCGAATGAACTCACACGATGGATCAAGCCAGGCTTCCTTCCCTGTCCCAGTCGGCAGGTCGCGTATGGCAAATCCGAGTCTATGTTCGGCCTCTCTTATGACTCGCGTTATAGTCCCTTCACCGAATTGTCGACGGAGCGACTTTTTGAAAGCGTCCTCAAGGGTATCAATGATGACGGTTCGAAGATGGAAACGCAAGTCGGCACCACCAGGCGGCCAGATGTCCCCATTTGTCAAATTTGGAGATAGACCCACTGCCCAGCGCTGGGATCCGTGGTCAATTGCTTGTGCTGAGGTAGAATTTGAACTAGGATGCCCCCGTGAAGTCTGCGGATTATCGTCTGAATCAGAAAATAAGGCTGCACTAAGTCGGACCTTGAATGAGTGTGAAGTAAGCAATAGATAGGATCGTAGGAGAACGAGGTGGAGCCGAAAGTTTAAATGTGTCGAGGAGAGAAACAGAGAGACTAATGCCCCAGATAAGGAGTCGGCATGTTCAGCCAGTGGTAAAAAGACAAGGTCTGTAAGATGTGATAGCGTCGGAGTCAGTGCGGGTAATGAACGAGGGAAATTTTCGACAAATAGATGTATTTGCGAAGAGGCGGTCATCGTTGAGCTCGTCGCCGTTGATTGAATATGTGTACCAGGCAGCCCATCGAACACGGCGAATTGCTGCAAGGCTTCCATGTAAGCCCTGGATACTCCAAAGTCCGTGTCAGAACTGAGCGCCGTAGGAGCTTGGGATTTATATTCGCGTTTGGGGCGCGACAGGCCATCGGCCCATGCAGCTGAAATTTCATCCTCTCTCCATATCCAACCAATGGTACGGTGATTGTGTACATCACGGAATAACGCGTGATTGGGATCTGCCTGCTGAAGGAGCTTAAGTGATCTTCTGGCCCGAGAAAGTGCATCCACGAGCCCAGGTTTCATGAACGAGGGAGGGATTTCCTGATTCTTGCTATCTTGGCATGAACCATAGTCTATGTCGCTATGATGATCACTGTAAGTGAATGGAGACGCGAAATTATCGCCATCTAGGATACCGACAGCAGATGCTCCGGTTTCAGAGCGCCTTGTTGATACATATCCAACTGATTTGCACGCCTCGAGAAAGAAGTCTTCTGAGCAGATAGTCAGGATATATGCAAGAATTGCTGCAACAAGTGGTGAAGATCGTCTTTCTAAGTAGATTCCCAGGCACTCGTAGACCCTAGACAATAGCCCTGGAGTAGAGTTCGGCGTTCTGGCCTGGCTGCTGTGAATAATTGGCTCATCCCAAGCGTTAGATCATACTGGATGTCAGCCAAAACATGACTCACCTGACCGCACAGAGAGAAGATCTCGTGCAATACTTCCTCTACTTCATTCAAGTCCATCCATATAGTCAGTAGCTTTGCAAGAGGTTCTGCAGAATGTCTCGCATCCTGCAAAGGCGACAGGCAGACATTAGTCATATAATGTCTGAGGTACATCAATATCGAAGACAACGCGTGATTAAAGGAATGAATGATCGGATATACTGGGACTGTCCTAGGGGCGTGAAGTCAGAGTTGCGTTCGCGCAACACATTATGAGTTACATACCTGCTTTTTTGATCGAGTGTATTTTCCAATCGACGGCTGAGTGTCCCAATATTCATAAATCGTTCGAGCAAGCTTCATCTCAAATTAGTTCGGCTTAGAAGCGCTGCAATCGAGTTATTGACCTAGAACTAATGGCCTCGTCTATCCCGGTTAAGACGATAACACCCTTCATTCCGCTGGGTATTCCTTTGAGTATGAATGTCTCCAATCTAGGATCCCATATATGCAATGCAGAGGATACTCCGAATAGCAATGATTTCAGTGATTGAAACAATGCCTCGGCATCCACATACAGCAGGCGCACCCTCGGATCTCGAAATGGCGGGCGAATGCTGACGAAAAATTTGAAGTTCGTGACAATATCTACGACTGATAAAACGACGTACTAGTATCGCACAGAAGCGAACGCTTGGCTGGTCTGTTGTGACAAGATTCCAGGAGAATTTTTTATTGTATTGAAAGGTAAACGAAGAGCATCCCATGACAAGATACAGGTCTACTCTTGAGTATATAAGTCAGAACATATAGACACGGACAATTACGGCGTACAGCGGCCGAGTGCTCCTGTGAAGTTGAGCGATCCCATGAATGTTCGCCTTGCTGCTGTACAACATCAGGACTAGCTCGAGCATTCTCACGGGAAATTGGTGATTCATGCGAGAAGGTGTTATCACTAGTGAGTCGCTTTGGCTTGTCAGATTCCCCAGCGAGAGAATCGAGGATAGGATTTGGTGGTGTCTTGGCTAAGCGCGGTATGAAGAATGTCGGGTGGATTTCAGGAATGGGGTGGATAGGAGGATATTCACTTCGTGGAGGAAGAATAAACGAATTCGATGTAAAGACCTCCATGTTTTACGATGTGGATCTCCACGGCCCAGCAAGACTCCAGTGAGAGTAGCCCGGAAGCAAACGGTCCGTTGTCACAAAATCGCGTGTTGTCACCAGTGACACTCAATGTGACAGACGCGTTTGTCACGAGCGTGTTGTTTAAGCTGATGACCGCCTCGCGGCCCTCGTCGTCCCTCAGGCTAATCTGCCTCCGCCGCCGTTGATCTTTCTTGCATAGCTGTACCCTATTGTCGGCCACGTTTTTCTTGATGACTGCTGTTTCCCGTAACCCATTTTCTATGAGACTGCATACCCAACATCAAGCACCGGCTATATCACCTCATCAGACCATGGTGCGCAAGGCGGCTGCTAGTAAAAGAGGCCGCTCGCCAGATCCTGCGAGAGAGGACACCATATCCCACGACACGAAACGCCTTAGGTCCAGTGCAGAATCCCCAGCTCCCACTCGCGATGAGACTAGAGAGGAGAAGAGGGAGCGTAGGCGCGTGGGACGGGAACAGGAGTTTAAGGTCAAATATCTGAATGCGTTTCCGAATTGGATTTTTTATTTCGATTTGGACACCCTGAACCCCGACGTGGTGGCCATGAGGGAAGGCTTGGAGCGGAGGGTGTCACACACGGGCGCGGTGAGCATCGTAGATATAGCTTAATACTCATTCTCGCTCATTGACACCGCATTGCAAATGCTCTGCATTCACTAGCGTGTCGAAGATTTTTTTTCCAAAGACATCACCCATCTTATCACGCTGGAGGCAGAGGACGCAGACAAGGAGAACGTATCTCGGCCCTCACAATCAGCGAATCCAGGTGGCCTACTCGGGAGCCCAATTCGACTTAGAGGACGGTGAGTTGCTATCTCATTATATTCGATCGTAGTTTGATGAACTTGAACAGAACTGGAAATGATGCGGCCAGTGCATCAATGGACAACCTGGCGAGGAAAGCTCACGCCTTTGGTATCAAAGTATGGAGCGCTGGGAAACTGGCTAGTGTGCTCGATCGCTGTCATGTTCCAGTAGCATTCAGCGCCACACCTACGTCACGTCCCATCTCTGCGCCAAAAGAGCGGTCTCTCACTCGTCTACTTGAAGATGAACGCATTCATGGTACTACTTCGGAACGCGATCCCACGCAGAAGAGACATGATTATAAGTACTTTTCAAAAGGTGTTTACTTCGTGCTCGTCGAGGACATGCGCCAAGAGCTTGCGACTATTGCGGCTGTAGAGTTCCCGCTATATAAAGGACGGGACGGGAAGGAGAGACCAAGTTGGCCTATCCTTTATTGTCACCCTAGGGCCAGGGGGCCATTTATACCCTATGACGAGAAAGAAGAACGGCGATGTGAAAAGATGGGTAAACTGGACCGTGAGCGGGCACGCGACCTGGCGAGACGAAAGGCAAGGCTTAGAGAGGAGGAGCGCAAGCGCCGGACGCAAGCTCAGATACAGGCAAAACAGCAGGATTTGCGTCGTTCTGTTTCCTTAAACAACCTACACCGTCGAACCATGTATCCCGACCCCGGCCTCGTGGACCTCGATGCAGATATTGGAGAGATGGACTCCCTCAATGCTTCTGGTTATCTCGCATCCGGTGCCTACATGGCCGCGTCGGGTAACAGTGTGGGGATTACGTCTACTACAGGAACGACCTCCACGGCAGGACGCCCCTCCAGGAACATCCAGCTACCAGTAGGTCTGAGAGGCAGGATTCAACAACAGGTGGTCACCTCGCGCAAGGTCGCTCCTGCGGGAGAGGACAAAGCGAATAGGATGGGTCCTCCTGCTACCATTCCCGGTAGGCAGAATATCCTCAGGAAGAGCAAAAGCACCAATACTCTCAGGCTGCCCAAGCGCGAGGAAGGAGTGAAACCTGGTTATTGTGAGAGCTGTAGAGTAAAATTTGAAGATTTCTCTCAGGTGAGTTCAGTGGTGTTTCTTAGAGCCGTTTCCTCACTGGGGAACATCGCAGCACATCAATGGGCGCAGACATCGGAAATTTGCGATTGACGACTCAAATTTTGTCTCGTTGGACTATGTGCTGGAGCGCGTGAGACGACGCACTCTGAGCGAAGTAGAGGAGGAGAGGAGACTTTGGTACTCTAAAATTGCTCAGAGCAAAGGACAGAAAAACGCTGAAGACGCAGCATTTTCACCGCATGACGATGTTCGATGGGACGAGTGGGTTGATGGTAGCGAAATGTGAGTTCAACATATCGTTCCTCTGGTGTAATGTTTCGGAGAGCCATGTTGCATAATGCGTGCCACCATTCATTTTATTGCCCTTACGTCGTCTTGTCGTCATCATATCTCATCTGCACTGTACCACCACACATATGGTTTACGAAACACCCACAACAGCATGCCACGTATATAGCTATATGGTCCACACTTGCACACACATTGTCATACAATATGCACACGTCACGCCAAGCGATTTGGATGAAAACAATATGTTGAGTCCGAATTCATCGTGTATATCGCAGATATAGACCGTTCCCCTTCCTTCACCTTCTTGATGATCGTTCACTTGACTGTCATGATCGGTTAGCAGAGTAGCATTTCCATTGACGGCCGGTCAATGCCATAGATTAAACTCGTTCGGCCGCCCGGCATCAACCTGTGATAAGTTCAGTATGATGCATCATGCTATTGAGGCTGATAACACCACAGCTGGCGATCAACTGACATAGCTGAGTCGGCAGTGGTAATTTACGGCGGCATGTGTTGATGAATACCGACTAATGTTCAAATATAGCCATTTGGAACAGCTGTACGCTTCTCTTCTAAATCCTCCTCTTCCGGTACGCTACAAGTAGGAAATGTATGTCATACAGCATAAAGAATTCAACGGGCAAACGAAACTCATGCTAGAGATATTGCGCTGCTATCAGCTTCTGTGCCATTCTGTACGAAGACCTTGAATGGCGATTCGATGTTGACAAAGGTTAATGAAGGAATATTCAGCGTTGGTCTAGTTTTACATACCCAAAATGATTGTCGCCAATGAGAGACTCAATACAAATCCTCCGATTTGGGAGAAGGTGACCGTACGGTCTCGTATCACTTCACCAATGGTTGGAGCTACTAATGGGCATTAGCACACATTCGACGCTGAAAGCCTCCACTTAAACAACACAATCCAATCTCACCAACAAAATTGATGACGAGGCGATCCTTATTGAGCCAAGTCGGATGAATTTGAGCCGGAGATAACGCTCGGTAGACCTCAGAGTATCATCGGGCTCAAAATTGGCTAAGGGGAATTACATTACTAAAGAGGCTTGCCATAACTATCGTTCGCACTATCGAGCGTGAAACCGGGATTGTTCGGTCCGTGAGGCCAAGGTACCCGAGCGTACCGCACTTCCGAGAGACAATTCCAATGTAGAGCAGTAGCGATGGCCGAGAATGCAACCATGTTCATCGAAAGTAGTGTGAAGTAAGTAGTGTGAAGTGAATAGATTGAAAGGGCACGGGGCACATTCGCTGAGGAAGAATGCACGTACGAGAGTCAGGGGAGCGTGGATATATATGATTTCATGCGACAACGCGAATTGTCAGACGTGCACATGGCATATAAGCAAGAAACCCACAGATGCCGGAGAAAGTGCATGATCGCCGTATAGAAGTAAAAAAAACCAGCATTTTCGAGAGGAAGGAGATCAAAACGAGGACTGTGCGGGAAGTTGATAAGTTATTCCTCAAAAAATGGTGAATGGTGACACATTCGTCTGAGATTATCGGGGGTAATCATAATTAGGTCTGATGAAGCTATTCCGGTCAAATTAGAGACAGAAGTCCCACTCAAGATTTGGAACGCTCACAAGAATTTGAAGCCAACTTCAGCAAGCGTAGAATATCTTCACGAACCAGTTACGGATGGCGGCGGTCACGGTATCTAGGAAATTCCCACGATTACGTCGTCTCGCCGAGTCTCGCAGGGAGATGTATGTACTCATGACATGAACAATCGAAGTTGCAATGGGACTAGAACTTGTCAAGTGTGAAGTAGGAGGCAGGATTGCGCCGGACGGCTAAGTACAGCATCTTTGATAAGATTAGCACCAGAGAAACAAATCGAGTGAATATAGACATATACATACAACGTATACAGACAGTCCAGCGGCCACCGACCAACTACTACCAGTATCCGCATGATATATCTCCAACTCAGCAGGGACGAGCCCATGACAGCACTGGTAATGAATCGCAAATTCGTCCACATTGCACCCTACATGGGCACCTGCAGACTGAACGCCAGCGGGCCATGATACTGTCGGACAGGATGCATTCCGCAGTGTTAAGCCTGCCCGTCAGCATCCTATTGCCAGCAGCTTGAGGAGCCAGATCAAATCTTGAGCAGAAGGGAGCAATGACTCGGAGGCCCAGACTTCATCCAAGGGAGAGAACGATGTGGTAGGACCGACATGTCTTCGAAACAGCCGCTGAGAACGAGCCTTATGTTGCACAATGAGCACGGCGATGCAGAGTCCATTGGGAATCGACAATCTTGCTAAACTGGTTTACATAAACAAACAGCATCGGCGGGGATGCCGAATTTGGCAACTAAGAATGTTCGGGAATCTCCGGCAGACACCAGCTACGTGGATCGCCTCAATGTCGCCATGGCCGCCTGAGGGCACGCTCCCGCTCTTCCTTGAGCATAAATCTTACTGCGAATACTCTCGTCGTATACCCACCAACTGGAGCTCTTGCTGAGCACACTCGTGCACAGGCAAGGGCAACTACAGGCGCGGTCCGCAATTCTTGCTGTGACAGCTGCTGTGACACAGTCACGCTTCTGAGTAGGTTCGATTCACGTTTCGCCAAATTTGGTTTCTTGTCAATACAAACCCACACGCGGTCGCCCAACGCGACAAAGTTCCTCGTAAGCGTTACTCATCCGTTTCCACTCTTTTTGGCCTCTGTTTTCTCTTCTCAGCCATCGTTTTGCGTTTTCAGATTTCTCTGTGTGCGTTGGCATCGTTGTGCTGAATAGACTCTTATCTCATCTCTGTCCAGGAACCCCTCGTCCAATTACTACCTACCTCGCCACGACTTGTTCCAACCACATTGTCTTTGTTACATAGTCCCTCTAAATCGCCATTTCATAATTCCTCTTCAAAGTACAATAATGGCCGATTCGCCCGATGGAACAGAGTCAGTAGGCGACTCCGGTGATGACGGACAGCTCACAATCCGAATCCCCAATCCAAAAGTCTATATGGCCCGGCAATCACAGTGGAAAGGGCGTAGGGGAAAGCCGCGGTGTGACCATTGTCGCCTAAACAATTTAAAGGTCCGTCTTCTACTTAATCTTCCTGCGGCGACTGCTTACACGCTGAATCAGTGTGACAGAGTTCTACCTACCTGTAATCACTGTGCGTGGGCGAATGGGCGCGAATGCAAGTATACGCCTTTACCCACGCCAGCCCATAGAGGTATTCCCAGATGCGACCGGTGTCGGATAAAGAACTTGAAGGTATGTAAGCATATTTTATTACCCTCCGAAATTAACACTCCCTGCGTCTCAGTGCGATAGGAATCTTCCAATCTGCAACCACTGTGCCGAAGAGAACGAAATCGATTGTAATTATACTCCAAAGAAACGACATAAGGTACCCTCAGATCATGCCACTACCAAAGACAGGCCAGTTGTGCCATATGCCGCGAAGACTGCGTCTTTTCTTGTGTCGGATGTCCCTAACGGAGAAGGAGAATCGGAGAATGGCGCGGGCACGAACGGCGCACCATCAGGTAGTCAGGTCTTCGAGAGTGAGATGCGGACCGAACCTCAGATCAAGCAATATTTTCCTCCAGGATCTCCCATACCTTTTGACGGCGATGTCCCCATTGATGCCGATACGGAACTATTTCAGCAAGTGGGTCCGGATGGTTCGACAACATGGGTCCGCAAAATAGCACTACCTCCTCTCGGTTCCAAAACACCTTCTAGCAGCAATTCAGCCGGGTACCACCGTCCCTTCGTTCTCGACACCGGTATGATTGTCACCACTCCTCATATTGACCCATGGACGCATCCCGCTTTCGCCCTCCTACCGAGCGTAATTGTCCAAACGCTGGCGGCAGTGAACGCCATCGAAATGCCTACCCGTCATGCTTTTGACGAGGCGCTCGTACGCTTCGTAGGTGGACTATCTCCAGAACTTCGCGAGACAGCAACGTTCCTCCTGGATGTTTACGCTGAGATCGCACATGCGGTATCGGAAGGCTCAGTAGCCACGCTGACACCCCGACTACAACTATGGACGACTTGTCATCATGCGCGGTCGGGCTCGCGCAAACATAACCTCGTTTTACTTCCTCGGGATGCATTTTACAGTATGCATAAATCTGACGAGGAGAAACTGAGGGCAAACTTTATCATTCAAACGGACGGAGAGGGGGAGCCCGTTAAACAGGATCAATTAATTGACGAGCGGCTGGGTTCAGTGGACCCAAGCGTGGTGTTTGAGCGGGTCCCTGTTCAGCCTCAAATTTACGATGTCTTGGTCTATACCCATCGACATCACGGGTCAGCGTCTACAATGCTCTCCGAAGCTAGACGGATTGGTATCGTGAGTGTATGATCTCCACCTCATAGTACTAATATCTAAAAAACCATCGTCATGTTAAGGCTACTATCACCTGGCCAATGGCTGAAATTTTTGTTCGATTATGCCCGCTATGCAAAATGCGGTCGAAAAGTGGCCCTCGCGGAGCCCCTGAAGAAGATCCTGGATTTCGACAGCAGCTCACGAAAAGATAACTGCTGCTTTACCATTTTTGATCAATCTACTGTTTGCATTTTGATATAACCATGTACTCGTTTACTCTGGGCTATCTACTTACGCGGTGCGATTGGTTTGGGATTTACTGTATCAATTGATGTCTATTGCTATCCTTCATTTCGTTCAAACTTCTGTGCTGTATATTAAATATTGATTACTGACTGATCCCTCCGCATTGCAGTACTTCGTAATGCTCTTTCCCCTTCCCCCGCATCCATGCTATGAGGTGTGCTCATTACTCGCGCTTTGTACGTACTTGCAGTCTCGTACATAGTCTCGTTAAATAATCAGGCAGAGGCTGCTGGTAGAAGAAAGTTTCGATTCGCCTAGAGGTGGGGGTAAACATTTGGGCGTGGGCTAGCGCTGCTAGTGACTAATGTTGGTGAGCAGCGAGGCAGTGTTCGCCATCATGATGTGGAGCCTCCATACCATTATAGTTGCCTTATACAGCAGCTTTTGATCGCGTCGTGGCAGCAGACACTGAATATTCTCAAGTGACTGCGGCTCTGGTGGATATGTTAAAGCCTGCCCTGACACCGAGACTAGCTAGAGACATCAATCATTGATATGCAAGTACACCCACTGGCACTAAACAGGAGGCTGAGAGTAAACTTGCGCCATTATTACGCACTGATGCGTGGGCTGAGCAAGAACATGCTACAAGACGATACTGGTATTCCTAGTCCAATACTGTCTTTAGATCTTTTGTAGTAGTGTTTATACTATAGATGCAGCAACGCGATCTGCGTGAGCAGGGGGCCCATCTCCGGGACGCAAACCAAGCGTACGTTATAAAATCCGGGGGACCATACATCATGATCGTAGTTCAAAAGTCGCGAAAGCTAGGTCATACCCGCCAAACTCGTAGTTAATCTTGTCGGTGCGTTTGTAAACTCCTCCGAAAGCAGGCGAGCCAGAGCATACTGGACCGTCAACCTCCTTGAGAGGTGTTATCAATGCGGCCTTGAAGGCACGCTGAGCAGCTTCAACGGCGCTCTCGCCGTCTTCCTCCTCCGCGGTGTTGTTGTCCTTGCTTGATACAAATAGCGTCAGCGTCAGCTTTCCTGGCTGGAAGATATTCACGACTCGTCGCACGAGCGTCTTCAAGTCTGGAATGCTCCGTGGCTCTCCGTTGGGAAGGGTAGGCAGTGGTACATTGCATTCGAAGCTGGCGTACGACCAATCAGGCTCCGGAGTAACGTGGATGCTGTAGTAGCCCTCTCCGCTACGAGCGGGCCCAGCGCCCGAGTCCTCCTTCCATCTAAGCAGTGCATTGGATGAATAGCCGCAGGGAATGAACGAGTACGCGTCAAGTGTCGTGAGTTCGGCCGGAAAGAGATCCGATATCCCCACGGAAGACGACAGTGCAATCGCTTGATCCAGTGGATTCAGTTGGGATATCTCGGAGACCAGCGAACTCGTCATGAACGGAGCGCAAGCCTTGGGAGAGAGCTGACTCATGAGGATTTCAATTGTGTAATCCTGAGAGATATCGCCAGGGGGCGACGTTGGCTGTGATTCCTCGGCTGTGTCGCGATCCAGGTCTGCTTCGGGAGGTTTCGTCGTGTAGGGGACGGAATTGCCGGATCTCAGCGCTGGATTCGCGCCAGCGTCTTCATCCGGGCTGGACATGTATAGCAGCCAATGATCTCCGTTGACTTTACCCACGGTGTACGCGGCACCATTGGGGAAGATTTGGTCTAGAAAATCGATTTCTGCTTTCCATTCCCTATGCGGCCCCACCTGCCGCTCGGGAAACATGAAAGCTTTGCGAGAGTAGAAGCAACGGTAGACGGAAGGCAGACATGCATGATCTTTAGCGATTTCCAGGATTCGAGGTAATCCTAGGAGGTTCAGAGTTGTTCCGCAAGTTTTGAGAATAAGGCGGTGGGGAGAGATGAAGAGAGATGATTCACTACATTGCATGCCGAGTATTAGCTGGTATGCTTTTGAGCAATGACAAGAAGATATAACAATAGCATTTGAACTTGGAGAGGAAGCGTAGGTAGTGCAGAAAGCCTCGGGACGAATGAGAAAAAAAGAGGGGAAGAGAGGAAGACCTCCAATCAGAGGACAGGGAAGGCTGCGCAAAACAGATAAAGAAGGGTACAGCTCACCTGAGGAGATAAGCATCCATCTCCATACCCTCGACGACGGAGAGGATCTTGCATTTGACGATGTCGAGCATTTCTGCCCACACTTCTCTAGGGACTTTTCTGAGACCTGGCTTGCCAACCGGAGAGACATGTGCATCGGGCACATCGGCGGGAGAGGGACAAAACCAGATCTCGAGTAATTTCTCGGGGCCCTCGAAGGGGCCGGTGGGCTGATCGTGGTCAGTGGCCATGAGGAACGGGGAGCAGGAATGCTATGGCGGAAGGGAGAGGAGGAAAGGACGGGCAGAGGTCGCGGGAGACATGAACAGAACGGGAGTGAGGGCGGACGGCGATGGGGGCAGTCTGCAAAACTTGG